TGGATTCGAAGGCATTATTTAACTATTTGAAAGACATCGGTCTATTTTATAGACTCTGATGTCTTTTAACCCACCTTATCATTTTTGACGTTATATATATATCGCATATTCCATATCATCTATTCGTTATCTCTTTTATTATTTTAACTCCCTTTTATTTATTTTTTATTATCTACACATACAATGCGAATACTTTTAAAATGAACCATTTTATCTTATTTTATCTTCGCTATTCACATGTTTGTTAAAAAAGTAAAATAAATAAATAAATCACCATGGCCCTAAATGACCACAGCCGTCGATGGGCCGTTAAACATAAACAAACAAACAAACAAACCCATAGTTCATACATGCTATTTAAATGAAGGTCCCATAGTTAATATATGCTATTTGAATATATGTCCCATAGTTCATGCATGCTATTTGAATGAATGTCCCCAAAGTTAAAACATGCTATTTGAATGAAGGTCCCATGGTTCATACATGCTATTTGAATGAAGATCCCATAGTTCATATATGCTATTTGAATAAATGTCCCATAGTTCATGCATGCTATTTGAATGAATGTCCCCAAAGTTAAAACATGTTATTTGAATAAATGTCCCATAGCTCATACTTGCTATTTGAATGAAGATCCCATAGTTCATACATGCTATTTAAATTTAGGTCCAATTGTTCATACATGCTATTTGAATAAATGTCCAATATTTTATACGTGCTATTTGAATTAATGTCCCCAAAGTTAATACATGTTATTTGAATGAAGGTCCCATAGTTCATACATGCTATTTAAATTTAGGTCCCATTGTTAATACATGCTATTTGAATGAAGGTCACATAGTTAATATATGCTATTTAAATGAAGGTCCCATTGTTCATACGTGCTATTTGAATGAAGGTCCCATAGTTCATACGTGCTATTTGAATGAAGATCTCATAGTTCATACATGCTATTTAAATGAAGGTCCCATTGTTAATATATGCTATTTGAATAAATGTCCCATAGTTTATACGTGCTATTTGAATGAATGTCCCCAAAGTTCTTACGTGCTATTTGAATGAAGGTCCCATAATTCATACATGCTTTTTAAATGAAGGTCCCATAGTTTTTATATGCTATTTAAATACACGACAAAAATACAATCCATTTCGAACGAAACAAGTTGCCCCAATGTTCGAGCTATATAAGTTTCCTGTAAATGTTTCCTCAAAAGTCGTACATGTTTGCAGGGTCAAGGTTTTGATCAGATGCTAACTGTTGTAGAAGGGCGTCGTGTGATCTCTTTCACTGCAACATGGCATGTTGTGCGTTATGATATTTTGCCAAATCCACTTCAATGTTGTACATTTTTTCATTTAGCGTCTTATCGTCTAGCTGGCGCACCAATTCAAAAGCAAACTCCACTGATGCCATGAAAAAAAATAATGAATGATTATTTAGTATCAAAGGTTATTGTTTAAATATAAGAAAGAGGTGGACAAAAAAGATGTGCCGTCCCTGGAATATTCGTCTTGCCTTTTTCTTCAAGTTCAATTAATATAAAAGTACAGCTAAGTACGTAAATACTGTAAACATGTAGATTCGCGTTATTATAAAACATACGGAATTACAAATATTTTTACAAATAAAATTAGCTTTACAATATATAATATAGTATTATATTTTTAATGAGTAGGAAACATCAGTGTTTTAGACGTCTCGTATGAAGACAGCTTGTAACATTAAACGAAATATCTGTATTATCCTAAAGATCTATTGAGATCCTTTGCAATCATATGATATATATTTTACACAGATAACGTATTTGTTCTTAATATAAGCTCATTTCGGTTTTTTATATGAATGCATAGTAAAATGCCTTGACATATGAAAAGGGCGGGATTGATAAGTGTGAAAACTGTATTAATTATGAAATAATGATATACTGTTAGATATAGAATATAAGTTTTTAAATGCCAATTGCGTCTTAGTTTTGTATTATTTACTTACATTCATTGTTCTCCTGTTTGGGCGATTGTAGACGATACAGATTAAGCATAAACTGCTCGTTGCTATTTTTAGACACTCGTTCGTCTCTCTCGTTAATCCCCGAGTGCCTTAGTAAGCTCTTTCGTTGTGCAGGTTTTAACATTTTGGATATTTCTTCCAAAGCTTTTGTAACTAATAAAATAAATAAATAATATATATAATCCAGATGATAAAGTAATCGATTCATGGAGTTTGTAATTCTTACAGCATTTAATAACATACGCAATGCAATAACTTAATCAATAATTAGAGCTTGTTTTCGCACATTCTATTACACGTAAGCACTTCTCACCCTATTTCATATAAGGCATACAACTCCAATAGTAGTATTGCATTTATAATTGGACAAGTCAATATTCCTTCAACATGAAACCTTCCGGTCATTTTTTTTTTCCAACCATAATGATAACAATGAAAAATACATGTATTTGTATAATGAGCAATGTAAGAAACCTTTTATGTTTATTCATACGCTGCATTATAACCCTTTGTACTTAGATCACGAATATGACCTACCTTTATTATGATGAGCATTTTCGGCTTGTACAATGGACATATCTGTGGACATGTCTCCTGTCTGAACCTGTTGTGTTACCATCTTTACACTGACTTGGATGGTTGCGTTCTGTTGGGTTCCGTTACCATCAATATTCAGTCTTGGTGGTTTCCGGTTGTAGCGTATACCTTGAAGACTGGTAATGTCTATGCTGTGCTGAATCCTCAATGCATTTGTCTCCAATTGATTGAGGAGTCTCATTGATTCCTCATGCAGCCTCCACGCATCTCTTTCAGCCTTGCACGCAAGCAGTTCCTTTGCCTCAAGTAGCATTTCAATGGTGTCCATCTCATCGGGAAATTTTGACCTGAACGTTTGAAGGCTATGTTGAAAATACGCCATACAACTCTTGCTAACAAGAGAATCGATTGTTGCAGATTGTCGTTGATTATTCATGAGCGTCAAAAACGCAAGGACAGCTTGATCCCTGCCCTGTTGCATGCTTTTCTCATTTGATTTAGCCAGTCGTAGCTCTTCATTTCTTTTCAGAAGTAAAGACTGTAGTCTCTCTACTTTGGTTCTCGAATATTCTTCATCTGCTAGTAGTTTTGAAATTGCTGCTATCTGCGATATCGTTGTAGGCTTTTCCATTCTTTCACCTGTAAATTTATTATTATATTTTCATATATTTTTCAATCAATCAAGTCATCAGTTTCATTCAAGGCAAAACACAAGTTATTGTACTTAATTCTGAATAGAGAAAGACCATATATGTTTACGCGATGCTATTACACAATTTCTAATTTTGGTGGCGAACACCGACATGAACACCAATCCCATCTATACGATGCCACATGCGACCGTAAATATTTCTAAATCCTTTTAAAGCTTCCCTGTATTTTCCTGTACAAGACACACGCACTGGGTCTGTTAGTAAAATAAAACTGGTTCTCACCATGCCTTGGTTGTTTAAATGTTAAATTAACATCCACGTACCAATTTTAATAGAGTCAAAATATATCGCATTAATGTACAATATTTCATAGATAGATTTAAAGAAATTAATTTACTGCCATATACCATTGGCGAGTTTTAATGAGAAAAAGAATGAGATATTCCACAAATGTAGTAGGTCTTTTCCGTGTCTGCTTCCGCCAAATTGAGAAAAGACTTTTAAAGAGATAATTTCTCTCGGACAAATTGACATTAAATTTTAAATCTGCATCACGGTTTTACCTACCAATCAAGGGTATTTCTTGTTCACCAACGAATATATAGTCAACTTTCATGGATTTCAGCACGCTTCTATCTTCTGGCACGAGGTCATGCAGCGTTTCAATAGCCTCTTCGGGCAGCATAAAGGTGATGACGATGCTGTTTGAAGGTTGAAAGCCCACTAGTGCCACATCTTCGTGCCTTACGCACAGTAATTTTGCCACAACGCTTCCTAAGTTTTCCACTTCTCGTCTGTTAGTCTCGGAACCTCCGATGTGGAACTTCACATGTTTAAACCCATTAACTGAAAGCAATTAGACACTTTTTTAATGTTACTGTTTTTGATTTTCTTAAATGATCTTATTCATTAAAACATGAATTGAATACGCACAGTTTACCAAATTTTAAATCTTTTGCATACCTGGCTTTGACTTCGGCGAGAAGAAATACAATGGTTGTCTCCGACACTCTCTAGCAAACATTACCATTTGCTTGTGTAGATCTTTCCTGCCGATGTGCCATAACATGGCTTGTAAATGTAGGAGATTGTTGCAACTTAAAAAGTCCATATCCATCAGTAACTGAAAGAACATGAGTGGACTATCGGCTTCCTTCAACGCCTTTCGTCCGAAACATCCGGCTTTAATTGAAAACAAAGTTGCTACATTGATCATGAAAAACGTAACATCTCAAATAAAACAAATTTAAGTAAAAGAGCAAGCATGAGTATTTTCGAGCCTGATTGATAAGAAGAATTGATCAAATCATCGCAAGAGAGTAATTCATTCTAGTTTACATTACTTGGCTGTTTTGAAAACACCTACACACCTCTATGCGGGTTAACAATCTATTATTCATTGTATCAAACTGGGAAAAATGGTAAAAGGACTTGACGAAAAAGGTAAGGAAAACATATAGATGAATTAATATTTAACAGCTGAGCAAATTATGTTCCTGTGTCAAAAGTGAACATGTGAATCATTATTATGTCTAAGATTCTGGAATCTTTTAACAGTTATGTTCTGGTTTGTTACTGTACCAGAAAGCCTGCGATAGTGGTCCCAACGAACGGTTGATATTTTATCTTACACGACAATCAATTAGAATCACTTCTGTAATGATATCTAAGATTTGTTGGATGTGTGATATGCTTTCTGTAAGTGTAATGCAATAAGTGTCATATGCTGTGAGTATATGTGATGTTATTTGCGTATATCTTTTGTGCAGTGTATACTTGTTATGGTAATTGTGCATCTTTGATGTGGTGCTTTAATTGTGGTGTGTTTAATGTGTTTAAATTTGTTGTGTTTATATTTGTGTTGTATATGTGATACACTATGTGCCTATGTTACGTGTTGCGTTTAAATGTGCTGTGCTTTATGGAGTGATTTGTGTACATATAATATCTTGTGTGTATATATGATGTGCTTTGTGTCTATGTGAGACTTTGCGTGCGTGCGTGTGCGCGTGCTTACTTTTCTTTGCTGAAAATCGATACTTCTATTCAATTCTATGAAAATGCAATTATAGAAATATTTATTTAATATTAGAACGACTTCTTTAGTAGATAATGGATGAAATTTCATGTGTTTAAATTTGTGGATGAATATTGTTCATGAATATGAATAATGTTACGTCGTTAATTCATCTTTAGCTTTTATGTGCAGTTTAATTTCAGAACGTTTATATTTTTGTGCTGATTATCCGTCAATGTTCATCAAACTAAAAGCAACAATACCGAAATATTTTACATTAATATTGCCTTTGAATTTCGTCCAAACAATGCTACGAATTATGTCAGTAGAAAATGACTTACCTGTACAGTAAAATTTCATTCTTGGCAGGTCTTTTTCTGTAAGTGACTCTGCGATATCATCCAATGTTTTATTAAATTTCCACTGGGGTGATATCAAAGAAGAATCAGCCATGTCCATCTTTGTTTCTAAGTTTATGTAAAAGAGAATGCTCAATTAAAGTTAATATTTTGTTGTCACCCAGGATCTTGTTGTGTAGATTACCTTGACTGTATGAAGGAACTGCTATTGTTAACTGCGGTTTTTTGTTGTTAGTGATTATTTCCAATAACTAAGTGAAGTTTAGTTTTAACAACTCTTATTAAAGTTGTTATTGACACATATGAATTAAACTTTCTGTTACATTCAAATTATTAAACTTGAAAGATATTGTTAAAGATTGTTTCACCATTTTCAATATAAAAAAAAATATGTTATGATTTCTTTTGATTTTTACTATTTCAAAGGATAACGACATCTACGGTTTGTTTATTTACACATATACACGCCTGTGTGTGGGCTTGTTAGAACAAAATGTAGGCCAAATACAAAACTATGAACTGAAACAAACACCAAAACTTTTCATTCCAACTCGTTCATAAACGGATATCTTGCAAATATAATATGTGTATGCATTATTGAGACAGGTGAAAACACAGTTATTACTAGGAAGAGTCTATGTCGTATTCTCACGCTCATGACATGGACATCTGTTATATATTTATATATATATTTATTTGGGTATATAGTCATTGATATTTAAATACACACTTAAATAAATACAATGCATTGCTGTATTCGGAAGTATTTCTATATTAATAATGGCATCCATCTCAACGTTGACATTTCGTAACTGTTATTTGTAGTTAATAGTGGAATGATTGCAAACAATGACTTTGAGTTCAATCTTGTAATTTGCGAGATTCTGATTTTGTGATATAAACTGATAACTTATATATGTGCAATTGACATTGACTTCACTCGCGACATTTAAAAAAATGTCTCACGAAATATTCATCAAATGTTATACTTTTCTTATTAAGCATAATAACACTTTGTAAGTACGTTTAAAAAAACAAGGCTGTAATATACTATAACATTCACTAAAATTCATATTGACAATGATCAAACAATATTACCTGTATTTATTTTTGAACATATATATTGTTAAATTAAAAATGCAGAGTAAAACTTCAAGTAACATTATTCAGTTAATTTCCGCCAGTACCATTTAGAATGCTTTTGATTCGTAATGTGCATTGGTTGTACTGAAGGATAATACAGTTATAATATGTGATGGATACTTTTTTACAATTTCATAACTTTTTTATTCAAAATGATTTATCTCGAAAACGATCTTGCATTTTTTATGCTTTGTGCAATGGAGGCGCTTGAGTGCCTTTTAGACATTTAACTGGATTTTGAAACATTTAAACATTGTTTTAGTATTATTTGAGACCCTAGGCGAGATTCTTGTAAGGTAAACAAAAGTTAAATACGTTTTCTATGATATGGTACAAAAATAAACATCAGTGCCTAAGTAAGATCCCGTCATCTCAGTCGATGGTTAAAACTATGATCCCTTCAAGGCAAAAACCAGAGATAACACTATCTCGCTTAGTTACATATAGTGTATGTATTAGTCTTATCCATGCAAGACTCAGTTACATATTGTGTACGTATAAGTCTTATCCAAGCAAGACTCGGTTACATATAGTGTATGTATAAGTCTTATCCAAGCAAGACTCATTTACACATAGTGTATGTATTAGTCTTATCCATGCAAGCCTCAGTTACATATTGTGTACGTATAAGACTTATCCAAGCAAGACTCGGTTAAATATAGTGTATGGATTAGTCTTATCCAAGCGAGACTCGGGTACATAAAGTGTATGTATTAGTCTTATCCAAGCGAGACTCGGTTGCATATAGTGTATGTTTTAGTCTTAACCAAGCAAGACTCGGTTACATAAAGTGTATGCATTAGTCTTATCCAAGCAAGACTCATTTACACATAGTGTATGTATTAGTCTTATCTAAGCAAGACTCGGTTATATATAGTGTATGTATTAGTCTCATCCAAGCAAGACTCGGTTACATAAAGTGTGTGTATTAGTCTTATCCAAGCGACACTCGGTTACATAAAGTGTATGCATTAGTCTTATCCAAGCAAGACCCGGTTACATATAGGGAATGTATTAGTCTTATCCAAGCGAGACTCGGGTACATAAAGTGTATGTATTAGTCTTATCCAAGGAAGACTCGGTTAAATATAGTGTATGGATTAGTCTTATCCAAGCAAGACCCGGTTACATATAGGGAATGTATTAGTCTTATCCAAGGAAGACTCGGTTAAATATAGTGTATGCATTGGTCTTATTCAAGCAAGACTCAGTTACATATAGTGTATGTTTTAGTCTTATCCAAGCGAGCCTCGGTTACATATAGTGTATGTTTTAGTCTTAACCAAGCAAGACTCGGTTACATATAGGGTATGCATTGGTCTTATCCAAGCAAGACTCAGGTAAATATAGTGTATGTATTAGTCTCATCCAAGCAAGACTCGGTTACCTATAGTGTATGTATTAGTCCTATCCCAGCAAGACTCGGTTACATCAAGTGTATGTATTAGTCTTATCTAAGCAAGACTCGGTTATATATAGTGTACGTATTAGTCTTATCCAAGCAAGACTCGTTTACATATAGTGTATGTATTATTTTTATCCATGCAAGACTCAGTTACATATTGTGTACGTATAAGTCTTATCCAAGCAAGGCTCGGTTACATATAGTGTATGGATTAGTCTTATCCAAGCGAGACTCGGGTACATAAAGTGTATGTATTAGTCTTATCCAAGGAAGACTCGGTTAAATATAGTGTATGGATTAGTCTTATCCAAGCGAGACTCGGGTACATAAAGTGTATGTATTAGTCTTATCTAAGCAAGACTCGGTTATATATAGTGTATGTATTAGTCTTATCTAAGCAAGACTCGGTTATATATAGTGTACGTATTAGTCTTATCCAAGCAAGACTCGTTTACATAAGTGTATGTATTAGTCTTATCTAAGCAAGACTCGGTTATATATAGTGTACGTATTAGTCTTATCCAAGCAAGACGCGGTTACATATAGTGTATGTATAAGTCTTATCCAAGCAAGACTCATTTACACATAGTGTATGTATTAGTCTTATCCAAGCAAGACTCAGTTACATATAGTGTATGTATTAGTCTTATTCAAGCAAAAAAATCTGTGATCGCAAAACTTGTACCTTCATTAGGCTGGTAGTCATTTTTAATCTTTGTTTCCAATTGATTGTCTTCTGTACATTCTCTATCTGTCCCCGGTTCTTTCTTGTCATTTTTTTCATATGGCTTGACCCTTGCTTTGCCCGACGAATGTCCCTTTACTTTAGGCATCTTCAGGTGTTACTGCTTAAACATTTCAAGTTCATTGATTATTATGAATTCCAGTTCGTAAAGTGTATTTAACGAAAGCCTGAATAGTGTTGAATACTACTTGCTTTTGCTAAACCAAGTCAATTTTCAAGTAAAGTAATACAGAAAATATGTCTAAACGTCAGATTTACCTGACCTTATGTACTATAATTCGACCTTAACATTTAAAAACGTAACAATGAAATCACTTTTTAACAATTTCCCTTAATGTATTTAACCGTAAACTGACAAATATTCCAAACAAATATCCACAATTGATTAAATGATTGGTTTTACGTCCGCTTCACTACCGAGTAGTTTGGTTATCCAGAATACCATTAATCACGAAGTATCATATATACTTATATATGTGTTCACAAAGTACTATCTACAAGAGCCCGAGTGTGGCAATGAAATAAACATGAAATAAATCAATAGACGTCATGGGACGTCACGTGCACCGTTACGGGAATGACGTCACGTGCACCGTTACGGGAATCAACAATGCAGTGGATATTTAATTTCGTTATTTTAAAACAATTGACCGGGCATTAATTGATAAAATATGTTTACATGTGTTTAAAATGCTATTTTTAGAACTGATGGAAGTTGCTTTCCTAGGCTATAAAGTAATGTAAACACCTGATTGAGTCGTAAAGAAAAATATTCAAGACGGTCACATACCCCGAGAAGGCCATTAGACCTAGGGTTCACATAAGGACCCTCAGGTTAAACCGTTTAAACAAAGTAAATGCATTGAGCCGATACAACACAGTCACTTATTTTAGAAATAAATTACTTTCTTTCGACATTTTCAAATATTAAAATTCTTTATATCTTATAAGTTCTTAATCAATATCTTAATAGGAAACATAGAAAAAAAGGTACACTGTAAGTTATTAAATATTTAGATTCATAAAAATGAACAAGAAACAAATTTGTACAAGTAAATCATTTTCATTTTATATGTACGTTAATGAATCCACTAAAAAAGGTACAAATTATAACTTTCCATGTAAATACGTATGGGAAACATACCATCCGAACGGTGACGTCAAGCAAAAGAGGGCATCATGTCATTAAGTGCATTTAGTAATCGCCCATGAATGCGAGTATACAAAATAAATGAAAACCATAATACAAAAAAACATTGATTGATAATGATGAAATAGACGCGAAGACAAGAATATTACCAACAATGAAAACAGAATATTATCAAAAATTGGAAAAAGAAATAAACCATGACACAAAGATTGTTGTTTTATGAATGAAGATTACATGATTCCGATTTTTAAGTCAAAATGCAATATCAATTTAGTTTCGCTTTCACCTTGTTTCCAAGAACTCGCGTCACCTGATACACATTATAAGTACGATTAATCCTACGATTAATGTAAAATGCGAAATTGCACTATCTGTCAAGTTTCGCTTTCATTCTGCTTCTGAGAACCCGCGTCACCAGGATCAAAGTTCACACCATGTGTTATCGACATACCGGTGTGTAGGTTATTTAAATGCTGACGACAACAGACGTGATCAGACAGGTGACCTAGATAAGACCATGCTATTTAAGTCAAGTGTTCAAGACAAATAAATACGCATTAAGACTTTGTAATGCAGGTTTCTATATTGACTATTAAATTACTATTTCAACTTAATATTTACTTCGTCATGTATTGTCACGTGTCACGAGGATAAATTTACCAAATATACCTATTATGAATGTTTGTATTAAATGTTTCTTTTACTTTTATGATAATAAATAAATAAAAATCCGTAGAAAATTAATATTTTAAATTTCGATTTAAAAAACCAAATTGAAATCTGGACAGCTAAAATACATTTCAACATACGAACAAATCGAATGATTCTCGTTCAAGTGCTCTAGTGGTAACAGAAAATATGTTATACACATTCAGCATGGGTTTCATATACCTATCAAAACTATACATGTATTATTTTTTATATTTCAACTACCTTTTAAAGGACCTTTCTGCGATGACTATAGAAATAATTATTCAACATCTTTTAACAATGCAATTGACGCTTTAATGAAGTATAGCTTGTAAGGTTGCTATATACTACCTAAAAACCGGAACACAAGACAAAACAAAATCATATAAGAAGCAAAGATAGTAATTAACAAATGATTAATTACACACAAACACCTTCACAAATATAACACTAGGGTATTGTATATATTATACAAGACAAAATATGATTATCATAATCTATTTAATATAATAAAATATTACAGGTTAACGAATGCAGGTTAAATTGTATATATGATTGCGGTCACTTCAAGTTTCGTCCTGGAAAGAATTTCTGTTTAGCTTAATAGGAAGAGTAGCAAGCGGACAGCTTGGATTGGCTTAAACGATCCAAGACGGAAGACTTTACCTTTTTTCTATAACAAATAGTGTCCGTGACCCTCCATGTGGTGTCAAAGAATTGCAACCTAGGTTTAATTGGTGTTCGGGGATTAATGAAAAAAGGGAAGAAAGGGCATTAGCTAATGTGGCAGGTTTTAATTACAGATCGGTTGCCTTCAAGCTTCGCCCAAGAGGGATTGTTTCGATATCCAGTGGAAGCACACTATTCTTGTCTAGCTATATATTTACAAATAAATATCAAAAGTTAGGAACAACAACGAATATTATATTGTTAGTAAAACTGCAATCATCTTCCGAATCCCATGGGTTTAGCTCATTTCCGCTGTGCAGAGAACGGCAGAGTGTCACCCCTGGGATTTCGATGGTGACTACAATATGCGTTCAGTTTCGCCTTCACAGCGTTTTCAGGAAATTGGGTCACCAGGATAAAAATAATAATAGGGTTGGAATGTTCACGTCCTGTCCTACCATTAAATTGGCAATACTAACTTAAGGTCAATGCTATATGATGAAAGGGTGTGATATGACACCACAACCTTGATTAGAAAATCATCTTACCTGCGATAAGGAAATTTAAACATGTAGGTATCCATATATTTGGTGAATTTTTAAATATACGAGAACTGCGCATGCGTTCATACTCTTTAGGGTTAACCCTTACAGTTGCGCTTTCGCAGATTATACATTTTTTATCACGTTATAGAAATTTATGAAATAGTAAATGATTCGGGTGAAATATAAAGGTTTTACACATAATTTTATATTTGAATTTAAATTCTAATCAAACAGTTACCAACTTATCATCTTATTATATAAATCTTCCTTGGCGTTATCTGTAATGGAATCTCAAATGGGTTTGTCAAAGTATTATACTCATGTGTTTGTTTGATTACCAATCATTTATGTACTTTGATGAAGTTATTCTACTTGAGATTTTAAATCGATAGAGGATAAAAGTTAAAGTTTAAATGTAGGTAATATACAATGTAATAAGTACCGAGTTTTGAATCCAAAAAAGTATATTGAAGCATACCTATATTGTGACTTTACCTTCTATACTGAATGTAACTCCCCTAGTACAAGAGGTCGACGTCTCGTTCACACGTTAACAGTTGATCATAGGAGTTCTAATCATAAACTTTAACATTTGAGTTTCACTACTATGGTCTCCGAAACACAGATTTAAGACAATGACCACCATGTATCTTAAATCTGTATTTGAGATCCAACACTGATATCCGGGATGGTATGGCAAGTTTCAATATGGCGGTTGAATCATAATGTAGATTTAGAATGCGCATGTCTATCACGTATCTAACAGCTACTAACCGATGTCACGTCACAATTACTATTTATGAGATCTCAAATTAGAAACCTCTGGAAATTTCTTCATTTGGAGTTTGAAACTTGATGAACGTACATAAAAAAAGGCATTTATATTTTCAACCTCAAAATATATATATCTACATGAGGTCAACTTTTTATCAAAATATAGATTTTCATAATTTGTGTTTTTGATTTATGACTAAAAAAACTGGGGATGGTGAGATGATGGTCAAACTCATTTTTACCTCGTGATAATAATTGTACTGACGTAAGAAAAGAAGCAATTAACTATACGAATTCAACAAATAATCAAGGAAAGTATTTTTGTATTAGTCACTTTCACTTTCGTTTATTTTTCAGAGAAGTGAACTGATGCCATTGCCATTAATAAGCACTTCCTTTTGTGATTATAAAGTCGTCGATAGTACTACATATATATATATATATATTTATATTTGCATGGCATTGTCGCTATATAGCCTCTTTGAAAGCTGTGTCGTTGATGGGACTTTAATTACCATGCATCACGAGACACAATTCTTAGCGTATTAATACAACACTGACCGGAACTACAATATCCAATATAAATAAACATGACGGCTGCTGAAATATCGCTGGGCATTGTGAGATTTGACAATGTCATTGTAAATTTATGTGCAAAATAAAAAATAAAATAAAAAANTCTGTTACACTGCACTGATCAACAGGGGTTCGTTACAAATGTCTGAAATACACATATTCTATAGACCTACTGACACATATGTTACAGACCTACTGATATGAGTCACAGCACACATAAACATTTCAGACATGTGTAACGAACCTGTGCTCCGTCGCAAGATCACTCACTTCAAACGCTATCAGTTTCACGCGTCTCGCAAACACGGTTCCTCAGTTTCTGACGACATGTCAAATAATGAGTCTGTTATAGAATCTACCGACTGTTGTCAGGTTCCCATACAATCAACAAATAAATTCACGCCTGGATTCTTCACAAAATGAGCAAAGAGAAAAGTTCGAATTAACTTCCAAAAATAACTCCGTCGTGGAGGGCAAGGTCGGATTTAAGGTGTTCACTATATTTCTCCATGCGCGAAATTTGTTCCGGGGAAAAGTCGAAACAATTTAAAATCTAACTTTTAGCTCAGAGTTCTATTGATAAACTTAAATCACCCTATAGACATATCATACGCAATTGTTTTGATACTGAATTGTGGAATAAAATTGAAGTGTTTGTTAAAATTTAAAAGTACTACTTTGTTTGCCAATCAGCACACGACAATACGCTGTTCAAACTATTGAACGAAATTGTGTGGACTGTCGATAAGGCGGGCATTATTAACTTTAAATATAAATTATGAGTTAAAAAAGAACATAAGAGGCAGAGAAAACGTAAATATAAGTATTGAACTGTTTTTGTATAGTATTTATGATCTATTTGAATGACACAACTTTGCAAGCAAACAAATCATAAGGCGCTAGCGCGCATTATGTTGTTTGCTTGCAAAGCTGTGTCATTCAAATAGATCATAAATACCATACAAAAACAGTTCAATGCTTAAATAGAGACACATAAGGAGGGTAAGTTGCAGTCAATGGCAGTGTTATCCCAACCAGGTCTTCATGGAATTTTACAAATTCTACACATTTTCTAAAGTGAACCGTTTCAACTTTCCTTTGTCCTACTGATTGTTTCTTCAATTTTTGAACTCTTATTGTATTTTGTAGAAGAAAAAAAAGCCGAAAAATGCACCTATATTCAACAGTAATTATACATCTTAAATTTGTAATTGATTTCGAAACGTTTTTGATACAGACATATAGCTTTTAGCTAATTGCGCATGCTCGTTGCAAAGCCAGTAATTTGTTCCGTGTATGATGTAACGTCACATACATTTACCACAAGGTCTACTAGGAACGTCTTGTTCATTCTAGAATTTTCTCTGTAGTTCTGCATACCAGTCATTCATTGATTTATATTTATTTCAACAACAGTTAATAAATTATATTGCGAAAAAAGAAGAAGAAATTAACTTCACGGTAGTTGTAACTCATGGATTGAAAACTTAAAAATTTACAAAATTTCAGAAGCCAATCAGTTTTCTTTCACTTTTGCTCCAATTTTTGTTTTTTAAGGGTGTTTTTTTGTGACGCAAGTTTACGACTTCGAGTAGAGAGGCAAAAGCAGGCTAAACTTCCTCGCCCGATAAATAGAGTGAACATAAGCACAAACTGTGATTACTTCTGGTAAGGGGCAGTAGAGGGGCAACTAAAGCATAAGGAACAAAACTTTCTAGTTACTAGAGTAAGTGAAAAGTATGTGCTTTGTTATAACTGGTGCATACATAAACAATTCATAATAAGAATATCATAAATAACAGGTCTAGAGCAGCTGTAATGTTCAGTCATCATCAAAGCAAAAGATTTTATTATAATTTATATATATATATCCCATTTAAATGATTTACAATGTACGTGTTCACGTCGGTAAATATGGTTTCAACGTTTTCCCAACCTAAAATGGAATCAATGCTAATGCAAATATAAGTTACTTTGGAAACGAGAAATACAGCATGGAAGAATCGATTTACATAATTTAAAAGATAAAAATCTTTCAACTTTTTATGTTTCAATGTCGATCTGGCCATGATTTCTTATCACATTCACAGAAAATTAACCGAAAGCGAAAATTTGGATCCTCATGTTTATAGTAGCACTTCTACGAGTACTTACCAAAAGATATTAAAGTATGTGCTTATGTTCATTCAAATTATCAGGTGAAGAGGTATAACCTGAATTTGCCTTCCTACGTCTCACTTAAAAATTTCATTCTCTAAAAAAAGACATTTCATGAACATGTTCGGTTGTGATGAGATGACATTTCTTAAAAACATTTGCTTTTCTGATATACAATCAAAAACTGTTTGACTAACCCAAATATAACTACATACTTCATTACTTCTACTTAGTTATCTCGAATATGAACAAGGCTTCTACAAGTAATGTTTTATTTTGGCACTCATCCTCGATATCTAGGGTTTACGCTCACTTTCGCTCTCTGCACCCCTGGAATATGTCATGGCAAAATTGAAGGTTCCTTGTGCGCCACCTTATTCATGAGACAAGAAGGCTAGTTCGATCCTTTGATATACATCAAAATAATCTGGCGGTCACGTAACGGTAAAATTTGACAGGCTTTGAAATCTTCAAAGGACGGGTATCAGCCTAGCGGTTGTTCAGGTTTTTTTACCTAAGACAAATCAAACAGCTATCTTCGTGCCTTCAATTTTGCCATGACATATTCCAGGGTCGCAGAGAGCGTAAGTGAGCGTAACCCATGGAGTATCGAGGATGTTTGGCACTAAGAGCAATGTTATGACTAACGATTTTTGTGAAGCAATAACTCAAGTTGATCTTAATGTCAAAGTCGGGAATCCCTGTAAATCCACTGCATGTGTCTGTGAGCGCTTTTCAGCTTTGTACTTAAAAAAACCCGTATCAGATTCTTTTAAAACAGGATATAAAGAAATATATTTATACATTGTTGCTATCCATATATTTGTTTTATTTTCAAATATACGCATGCGTTCATACTTTTTTGTGCTAATTCTTACAATAGCGCTAGTGCAGATTAAACATTATTCATCACGTTAGAAAAATGTATGTATACTTGAGAATAACTTATGATTCGGATGAAATATAAACATTTAACACATTATAATATATTCAATTTTAAGTTTCAATAATACATAACCCAACAAATCATCTGATTGTAGTTCTTCCTGATGTTATCTTTAATTGAATCTTAAATAGGTCTGTAGAAGTCAATTGAATCAGCAACTTCGTTTGCCCATATGATCTAATTATCAACCTCGTGCGATTTGAAAATTTAAGTGACCAGTTTTGTCACTAACGGTGCAGACTAAATCTACAATTCCCTTATTACATTGAAGAATATTTAGATCATCAATTTCCCCGTTTTGTTGAATTGATATGAATATTTGGCAATGAACATCAATAACATTGTTTAAAATGAAACGATATCGATCAATGAATAGTGTTACAGACTAAAGAGAAAAAACACTGGAACCTTTTTAGATGTAGACAATCCTAGTAGACGTATGTGGAAGTGTTGTGCCGTTACATCAGATAGAGAACACTACAATTGCCCTGTAATGCGCATGCGCACGTATCTTAAGAACAATGTGCCTACGACAAACACGGTTTAATCTAAAATACAAATTTAAAATACATAGGTACTGTTTCATAAATATGCATTGTTTTCATATTTTTTACTGTGCAATTGAACAGTGAGTGGTACATGGGGAAAATGTAAGAGCGAACGAGAAGTATGTTGAATGTGTTAAATTTCATTTATGCCTGGTTGGGAGAATGCACCTTACCCTCTCAAGCAGACTTTAAATACATGTGTTGTACTATCGACGAATAAATATACACAACAGACACTTATCACTGCAGGTAGCGTCATATCAGTTCCCTTCTCTGAATAATACACGAAGGTCAAAGTAAGTATTATGTTAAGACTTACTTACTTGAATTGTAGTTTAAGAAGTCTATTTAATTGTTTCATTCCTTACCTTAACTCAAGTGCAATGATGAAGTATTTCTATCCCAGTTCTTTTGGTCATTATTCAGCAAAACAATTTACTCACCATTTGGATGAAATGTAATTTGAAAACAAATAGAAAAAAAAATGAAAAAGAAATAGATTAAATTTCTAGTTGATTAATTTAGAAAGGTAGAAATTTCCATAGTTAATTTTAGATCTGATTATTTTTGCAGTAGTGACGTAATAATATACGGAAATGCGGTATGTGTGTCAGTCATTATGTACATGCGCATTCCATCAATCACCATATTGAATCTCTCTTACCATATCATTTTGAATACGGGATCTCACATACAGCATTAAGATATATGGTGGTCATATCTTACATCTATACTTCGAAGACCATCGTAATGAAACTCAAATATAATTATGCATTTAAATAGAGCCGGCCTGATCTGCTGTAAGACAGTCTCCTTTACTGGGAGCAGTACTTTGTATATTCACAGTGAAAGGTAAGGTTTCAAACTAGATGTTTTGTTGTATACCTTTTTCCTGATCTAGAACTCTATATCTGTCAACTTTATCCAATTTGTAAATTTATCACAAATACATTCATAAAACGCTTGCTTTTCATATCTCATATTCCGTCTTTGCATATTGCAGAGTTATCTTCTCCTGTGAGCAGGTATTGATTGTTACGTCATTGGTATGTGAGAGTAACGTCATCAATGTTTGAGAAAACGACGTAATTTTCTCACACAAACCAATGACGTAACAATCAATACCTGATCACAAGAGAAGATAACTCTGCAATACGCAAAGACGGAATAGCCGACTCCACGTCGTTTCAAGTTCCATCGACATATTTTCAAAATAGATATATACGATAAGAAAATGATTCAATTATTCAGTTTTATTTAAATGAAGATCGGGTAAACTTTATTTTATTTCATTTGTTTATTTTCAGGCCAATTATAATACTATTATAAGTAGAAAATCTGTAATCTCATCAATCACTACTCGACTCTCATATATTGTATACGCATGCGCGAATTTGCACACTGAAATAATTAAATATCTGTATGTCTACGTGTGATATTCAAACATGATTTTATGATTTTTAGTAATGTTTATTTCAGTCTTTGGTTTCGTACGTTACAAGTACTAGTACCTATAAATACCATTAGTGGTATTTATTTTCTTACAAAATAGTCTTGTGTGTTATTTCACAAAATCGAAATTATTCCTTTCATTTTATTTTCAAATTTGAACACTCGGGAAATATGTTATATCTGCACAAAGTTTTTGAAACAACAACATCCATTTAGATCCAGGAGGCTCGATCGACGGCCTCGTCACATTCCGTGACAGGAGTCATGCTGACAAATAACATACATGTACAAATCATAAATATTGCGACTTTTAGAGTTATATGATTTTCAAAGTGTTTATTGTTTTGATTTTTATAGCCCTAACATATTTTTTGATATTAAAATTTAGATAAAATTTCTGACTAATTTAGAGTGCCTTATGTATAAGACAGGTGACCTGCCATTTGATCCAGATTTTGTACCTTGTCTACATCTTGGGTATAATAAGCAGGATGTGAGTATGGTTGTAAAAACCAAAAGATTTGAAGGGGGAATACAGAAGGAAGAGAGACTTCTTGATCAAGAAAACCGAACACATGTAGCTAAGGCCCTCCTTGAACTTTCAGATATACATAACAGTGATGACAGTTTTGATATCAGTACATTCACAGAATCTACATCAGCAGATCTAGAGTCTATGTTGTCTCCTCATATAGGTATGTTTATGACGTGATGGTACCATACGGGTATTGTTCATGCTTATTCAATGATTTTCATTATAATGTGTACTTATTTTAATGTTGGAATAGGGATGACAAAAAATTTGGTTCACGAAACTGAATTAACAAAGATTATTTACACATCAAACTATTCTCAGATGTAACAAGATACATATGTATACAGTACTCTAGCATGCTTCTGTGATTAGTAACTGTCTTCGTGTACTAATGTTGTACAAATATATGTATGCAGTATTGATATGTGTATGTATAATATTAACCATGCTCAATGGAAATGATTCCTTAACTTTTAAGCTCATGCAGATGTATTTGTGTGTTTGCAGATATCCATGATACATGTCTAAAAAAACCAGAGTTAAAGTTAGAGAATAAGCAACTTCAGCAAGAACTGGCATGGTTGCAGACAGAAAGAACAATCAAGTCGAATTTGGAGTTAAGACTACTGAAAACAATGACAGTCGTGTTTCATTCTTCACTGGTTAACCATCCTTTTCTGTGTTTTCTTGGTTAATTACTTTTCTTGTGTCTGTGCTTCCAAAATCACAGTGTTTAGATCCAAGAAATGTACTGTTATTGATTTTAATGAAAGTCAAGGGAATTTTTTTTAATCAAGACCTCCTCCCACTCCTCCCCCTGTCCCCTATAAAAGGCCGATACATATGTTAAATGAACATAGGAGGGCAGTGAGGACTACAAAAAGGACGTGTTCCCGTGGACCGCAGTAGCTGTGGACAGCCTATCCGCATCTAAGGAGCTGTCCGACCTTAGAGCGTGACCTGGATGGGCAGGACTTTTGAATCTCCGAGGGCCCAGTAAGCTGGCGCTTACCCCCTCAAGACGACCGAACACAGACTTCGTCAGTGAAGTGTAGTCTATAAACCCATCAACCAACCAACCAAGTTAAATGAACAGTGTGTACATTAGATGGTGGAGAGACAGCTCGCGTCAGAATGGTTGGTTCCGTTTATGTTTCCAATTCGGAACACTGGAGATCCTATTACCAGAAAGTGTTGGAGGGAGAGATCCCTAGGTCTCGGATTGATGTAAATACTGACATGGGTGACGAGAAGTCCGCGCGGGACAGTGAAGTTATTCAAATTACACCGGTGACTGCTGCTTTGGAAAGAACAAAATCAGAATGGAAACGTCAAAAGAAATCCCGTGTTCCGATGATACAGACAGACAGATCGTGGTATAATTAAGCGAAGATTAAGAAAAAAAGAACAATATAAAGAACGAAACCATATGTCTGACATATATATTCAAAATATGTGAAAAAAAAACAAAAAAAAAAACCCCGATTATTTAGCTATATAATTGTGATGAGTTGGCTATACCGCACACAGATTAGTAGCATAAACAGTTATGAGAGTTACACTTGGCAGTGTGAATCCATGCGCGAAACTGTTCTCTGTGGTATACAATTACAAAAGGGGTTTCCCCTGTTGGAAATTCCCACAGCCGAATGAACTTCATTCACAGCGTCGCGAGTGATCAGCAAAATACAATTCTACCGGGTCTATATGTAAAATGGATCTATTCAGCTTATGGATACGCGTATTAGATGTAACGGATTTGTAGGAGAGTGAACTACTCGAGGAAGGTCTCATTTCAAGACCCCGTTTGTGGAAAGGGATGCACACCCCGATTCAGATCGTCCCGATACCATACCGCGGGTGGTAGATGACTCTCGGTAATGTAAATATGTCCATGTTAGGCTTTATGTTGTACGGTTGAACACGGGATTGGTCTATGACCCGCGTCCGTTCTATTTGCAGAGACAATTAATACACTTGCATTATTATTGTCTTGATTTATTTTTTCATATATCACAAAACAGTCTTTTCGTTTTTATTTTAAGCATCCGGGTAGGTTCTAGAATAGAGTGCGTCCGTGTATGTTAGTACACCTTTGGACAAGATCGCTAATCACATCGCTTCTATGCACCTTTCCGTAAGAACCAAAGGACTCCTGAAGAGCTCTAATGTTCGGGTTAATTTTCACTCTCTGGCTTCATTCATCATTTTATACTATATGTATGTTTATACCATTTGAAAAATAAAAGTTGGAAGCGGGTAAATCCGTACAGAACCGTGTACGTTCATACACCTTTTCCGGAAAGTTCGTACACCACATAAGCATGGTTATTTCTGTTACATCAGACGATATAAACTCGTTATATTGACGTAATAAATGTATATTTTAAAAGTTAACGATAATTGATAACATCAGAGTGATCTAGACTCGTTAATAACAATAAAAATGTTAACTATCGATCGCTGAGTAGGCCTTATCGTTGAATTTGTTCACGATACTCGATACACGTTGGATATCTGGCTCATTTGTTATGCCCTGATAGAAGCCACGCGGCAAACGACAGGAGACGTATACAATGCAAGTCAGCCAAGAAAACTTTTGTTACTAATTTCTCGAATAAGTGTAAGCAAGGATATAGACTAGTCTCCTAGTATATTTCTTATCCGAGGCTGTGCCTATTAGTCAAAATGTGTTGAGCCTGTTACATATAGTGTACATTACTTTTTTATGTGTAGTTGTCCGACTAAACAAAACTGAAATGTTTATTGAAGTTCCACTTTCGAATGTGTGCACACACTTTCGAGAACCGATGTAATTCTATAGCTTGATTGGAAGACTGGTTCTTCTCCTTCAATTTAAGACCATGTATGCTCAAATCCACCAAATACCGCCGATGTTACAGCAGTTAGAAACTAAAAAAAAAGTTTTTTCGCCATGGACGAGTTCAATACATTTCTATTTTAAGTGTATTAGTATTTTTTCTCAGTCACGACAGGTGCCTATATAGCTAGCTGTGACAAACACACTTATTATAGGTTACGGGTCTCTATAGGGAGTTTGAGGGAGTCTAAAAGTACATGTATAACCAGTAATGTTTCAGAAAGTGTTAAAACTACAAACGTATCTTGACTGCATAGCATAGTAGACAAGCTTCCAGTTTTACAACCGATAGGTCACCATATTCTAGAAAGACAGAAGAAACCAAAAATATATTAAATCTATGTTATTTTATTTTAGTATTTGATAGATTAATAAAAATATATTATATAATATTAATACATGTTCTATTGTTAGAGAAAGTAAAAGTTGAAATACTAAAATAGCAAAGTTCTAAAATGGGAATTGTTGTGGAACGCGTATAAGTTGGGATTGTATTTTCTATACTATGCGACTAGTCCCCCCCCCCTCCCCCTCTCAAAGCTTCCAAATTTAATAAGTATTAGGGAACATTAAGAAGTCATTACATTATGATTAAATTATAATATCATACAGACATTCTGTAAGAACCAGCTTTCACCCAGTAACTGTCTAAAGTTATCAAAATTAGGCGTTTAGACATTGTGTACGATTTGTAGTATAGATCTACATTGCCTGTACGTACTTACCGGTACTGGTGTCATACGTATATGAGTGTAGTATGGTAAGTTCGTACACTTTAAAACTGTGAATTTTATCAAATATTAAAATGTAGGCATTTGGAAATATATGGTTAGAAAGCAAGATCAAACAAATAGTTATCGCAACACTCGGCTCTAGTTGTTAAGTTGTTCCAGGTATTTTCATTATAGCATTGTACTTACGGCGTGTGTCAGATTTCCGGACTGCTGAAAACCTCTCCGGAACATGCAAGTTTGTTTTTCCGGCGTCAACTACGTCCATCCAATCAAATTATAGGATGTATCCATATCAACAAGGTGTCTAAATATAGTACACAGAGTAGCTCGATAACCCATTGTACATGTATGTCGCATCTTTAACACAGAAAACAACACCAGCATATTTATATAAGCCTTCAATTCAACATGTACGAACATAGATGCCTGTACGAACATACACGGACGCACTCTACCGATCCGGTTGAAACCGGCAGACTCTTTTACAAAATTCAATAAAAGTTCAAAGATTGAAGAAACAATCAGCAGGACAAAGGAAAGTTTAAACGGTTTACTTTAGAACATATGTAGAATTTGTAAATTCGTATATATATATATGTAGTACTATCGACGACTACATGATCACAAAAGAAAGTGCTTATTGATGCCAATGACATCAGTTCACTTCTCTGAAAAATAAACGTAAGCGGAAGTGACTAATACGAAAAGACTTTCCTTAATTATATGTTGAATTCGTATAGTTGATTGCTTCTTTTCTTACGTTAGTACAATTATTATCACGAGGTAAAAATGAGTTTGACTATCATCTCACCATCCCCAGTTTTTTTAGTCATAAATAAAAAACACAAATTATGAAAATCAATATTTTGATAAAAATTGACCTCATGTAAATGTATACGTTTTGAGGTTAAATGATAAAAGCCTTTCATTATGTACGTTTATCTAGTTTCAAACTGCAGATGAAGAAATTTCCAGAGGTTTCTAATTATAGATCTTATAAATAGTAATTGTGACGTATTGGTTTCTCCATATTGAAACTTTCCGTACTAACCCGGATATTAAGTGTTGGATCTCAAATACAGGTTTAAGATATATGGTGGTCATTAACTTATATCGGTATTTCAGAGACCATGGTAGTGAAACTCAAATGTTAAAGTGTTTGATTAGAGCTCCTATGATCAACTGTTAACGTGTTAACGAGACGTCGACCTCTTCTACTGGGGGAGTTACATTCAGTATAGAAGGTAAGGTCACAATCTAGGTGTGCTTCAATATATTTTTGTTGACTCAAAACTCGGTTTCCATTACATTATGTATTACCTACATTTAAACTGTAACTTTTATTTTCTTTCGATAAATAAATACAGGTAGAATAAATTTATAAAAATACTAAAAATGATTGATGATCAAAAAACACACGAGTATAATACTTTCACAAACCCATTTGAGATTCCAATACAGATAACGCCAAGGAAGGAATATAATCAGATGATTAGTTTGTTACTCTTTGTTTAGAATTTAAAATCAAATAGAATTGATGTGTAAAATCTTTATATTTCACCCGAATCATTAACTATTTCATAAAATTTTGTTATTTATTTGTAAATATGTACCTAGACAAGAAGAGTGTGCTTCCACTGGAAATAGAAACAAAAGAAAAAATCCCTCTTGGGCGAAGCTTGAAGGCAACTATATCTGTAATTAAGACCTGCCCCATTAGCAAATATCCCCTTGTTTTTCTTAATGTGTTAGTCCCCGAACATCAATTTAACCTAGGTTCTATTTCTTTGACACCACAGGGAGGGTCATGGATACTATTTGTTATAGAAAGAGAGTAGAGTCTTCCATTCCACCTGGGGTCGTACAAGCCAACCCACGCTTTCCGCTTACTACTCTTCCTATTAAGCTGAACAGAAATTCTTTCCAGGACGAAACTTGAAGTGACCGCAATCATATATACCATTAAAACCTGCATTCGGTAACCTGTACTATTTTATTATTATAAATAGATTGTGATAATCATACTTTGTCTTGTATAATGTATACAATACCCTAGTGTTATATTTGTGGAGGTATTTGTGTGTAATTAATCATTTGTTAATTACTATCTTTGCTTCTTATATAATTTTCTTTTGTTTTGTTTTCCGGTTTTTAGGTAGTATATAACAACTATAACCTTACAAGCTTCACTTGATTAAACTGCCAATTGCATTGTATAATATGTTGAATAATCATTTCTGTAGTCATCGAAGAAAGGGCCTTTAAGAGGTAGTTACAATATATAAAATATTACATGTACAGTTTTGATAGATATATGAAACCCATGTTTAAGATATTTTCTGTTACCTCTAGAGCACTTGAACGAGAATCATTCGATTTGTTCGTATGTTGAAATGTATTTTAGCTGTCGATATTTCAATTTGTTTTTAATGTCGAACTTTAAAATATTAAAACATTAATTTTCTACGGATTTTTATTTATTTATTATCATAATAGTAAAAGATATATTTAATACAAACATGCATAATAGGTCATTTTGGTAAATTTATCCTCGTGACAAGTGACAATACATGACGAAGTATATATTAAGTTGAAATACTAATTTAATAGTCAATATAGAAACCTGCATTATAAAGTCTTAATGCGTATTTATTTTCTTGATACTTGACTTAAATAACATGGTCTTTTCTAGGTCAATTGTCTGTTTACGCCTGTTGTCGTCAGGATTTAGTAACCTACACACATGTATGTCGATAACACTTGATGTGAACTTTGATCCTGGTGACGCGGGTTCTCAGAAACAGTTTGAGTCCAAATAACTTAATAAACTAAGTAGCACATGTACTTTTTTCTATGTTTCCTATTAAGATATTGATTAAGAACTTATAAGATATAAAGAATTTTAATATTTGAAAATGTCGAAAGAAAGTAATTTATTTTCTAAAAGAAGAGGCTGTGTTGTATCGGCTCAATGCATTTTCTTTTTTTAAACGGTTTAACCTGAGGGTCCTTATGTGTTATGAACTCTAAGTCGAAAAGCATATAGGGTAGCTTTCGGTTATAACGTCTTGCTCTTTAGAATGATGAATGACGACTTAAAAGATAAAAGATATGTCTGTAAAATGTGAACGTTCGATAAAGTATTACCTATACCAAAAGAATAATGTTAACACAATCTACCATGTAATATATTGCAGTCTTTTCATAAGCTGTTGAGGATTTTTGTTTTATTAGGTCACCTGAGACAAAGTCAGTGACCTATTGCGATCGCCTTTTGTCCGGCGTCCTGCGTCGTCCGTCGTCCGTCGTGCGTCCGTAAACAATTTACATTTTCGACTTCTTCTCCAAAACCCCTGAACCAATTTCAATGACATTTTGCAGAAACCTTCCATGGCCAAAGGTCAACCAAAATTGTGAATTATATCGTCCCCAGCCCCAAGGGACCCGAGGAGCGGGGCCAAAAAGGGTCAAATTGACTAAAATTTCAAAAATCTGCTTCTCAAGATCCAGATATGGTAGGATCAAATACTCTTCATAGCTGGAAGGGTCTTAAGGTGCTTCACCAAAATAATGAATTTCATGACCCTGGAGTTTCACGTTTCCCCCTGGTGAGGGGGTAAACTTTACTATAGTTTATATAGGGAAATCACATTTTGGACCAACATTTGTTTAATTTCTATTGGAAGTAATTTGTAATTTGGGCTAGCATTATCAGTATTGGAAAGAAGTTTGATGGTATGCACATATCAGCCCTGACTGACCCCATGCACGGGCTGATAGGTCGGGCCAAAAAGGTCAAATTGACTGAAATTTCAAAAATCTTCTTCTCAAGATGATAGACTCAAATACTCTTCATAGATGGAAGGGTTTTAAGGTGCTCTACCAAAAGTTTGAATTTTATGACCCTAGGGTCTCACGTTTACCCCTTGGGAAGGGGGGGGGGCAACATTTATTATGGTTCATATTGGCAAATGATACTTTGGATATTACATGTTGATAACTTGATTGAAATTATAACCCTGAGTTGACAGTTTGATACTTTGAAAATTTTGAGTCAGCCCTACCCCTAAAGGGCTGTAGGGCGGGGCTCAAAGGAGTCAGTGTGCTAACACTTCTTCATTTTCCGTGTTTAGAATCAGAGGTGCTAGTTTCAAATACTTTTCAGTCTTACATCTGTATGGTAGATATTGAATAAGGTGGTTTTGTTGTTTTCTGTGACTTTGAATAATATTTCTGTTAATGTTTTAAAAACAAAAATCAGCTCTTTGTATAAATATATCAGAATTCAGGTGACCGCTAAGGCCCATGGGCCTCATGTTTTTCTTTTTTAAAAAGATACTTGTTAAACCACATCTGTATTAAGAATATATTAAATCATATTTGGAAGTTTACGTTTTGGATGGTTGACATGGCGTATTTGATACGTAAAAAACCAACTTGAAATGTATTGTGGCCGTAACTGTTCAGGTAAGTGGTAGCAGATATATATATATATATATAATGTATAAAGTTATCATTCGGGCATTCTTGAGCCTTTTCGGGAGATGGAATGACAACGGTAGTTGGAATATACCGTATGTTAATTTCCTACATCACAGTTGTTAACTTACAGTAAATCGGACGATATCATTGCACTGTCTGATAGCTTTACCATAGTACATAACTCTATAATTTAGTATCAATTTCTATAGGAAAAGTATGAAGATGAAGATTCGGAATTTCAGGACAGATATGTTAAAGTTCCAATTAAACAGTTATAACTATATCAATTGTTCAAATTTTATCAGACGCTTTCTTCTTTTTTTCCTATCACCCAATGTTGTCATTAAGCCAACAAAATGTTTCCTAATATAAACATTGTAGATCAAATAATCTATCTTACCGTTTTTGGTCTAAATATTGCAGGCGTTCTATCTTACCGTTTTTGGTCTAAATATTGCAGGTGTTCTATCTTACCGTTTTTGTCTGTATATTGTTACTTTTTATCGTACCGTTTTTGTCTCTATGTTGTAAGCTTTCTATCTTACCGTTTTTGTCTCTATATTGTTGGGTTTCTATCTTACCATTTTGTCTGTATATTGTTAGCATTCTATCTTACCGTTTTTGTTTGTATATTTTTAGACTTCTATCTTACCGTTTTTGTCTGTATATTGTTAGGTTTCTATCTTATGTTAATGTCTGTATATTGTTAGGTTTTCTATCTTACCGTTTTTGTCTGTATATAGTTAGCTTTCTATGTTACCGTTTTTGTCTGTATATTGTTAACTTTCTATCTTAGTGTGTTTGTCTCTATATTGTAAGCTTTCTATCTTACCGTTTTTGTCTGTATATTGTTAGCTTTCTAACTTACCGTTTTTGTCTCCTTATATTGTTAGCTTTCTATCTTACCGTTTTTGTCTGTATATTGTTAGCTTTCTATCTTACCGTTTTTGTCTCTATATTGTTAGCTTTCTATTTTACCGTTTTTGTCTGTTTATTGTTTGGTTTCTATCTTACGTTTTTGTCTGTATATAGTTAACTTTCTATCAAAATGTTTATGACTATATATTGTTAGGTTTCTATTTAACCGTTTTGTCTGTAGATTTTGGTTTCTATCTTGTCATTTTGTCTGTATATTGTTAGCTTTCTATTTAAACGTTATTGTCTGTATATTGTTAGCATTCTAATTTACCGTTTTTGTCTCTATATTGTTAGGTTTCTATCTTACCGTTTTTGTCTGTATAATGTTAGGTTTCTATTTAACCGTTGTTGTCTCTATATTGTTAGGTTTCTATCTTACGTTATTGTCTGTATATTGTTAGCATTCTAATTTACCGTTTTTGTCTCTATATTGTTAGGTTTCTATCTTACTGTTTTTGTCTGTATATTGTTAGGTTTCTATTTAACCGTTGTTGTCTCTATATTGTTAGGTTTCTATCTTACGTTATTGTCTGTATATTGTTAGCATTCTAATTTACCGTTTTTGTCTCTNACTATATTACCGTTCTTGTCTGTATATTGTTAACTTTCTATCTTAGTGTTTTTGTCTGTATATTGTTAGGTTTCTATCTTGCCGTTTTTGTCTGTATACTGTTAGGTTTCTATCTTACCGTTTTTGTCTGTATATTGTTAGGTTACTATCTTACCGTTTTTGGCTGTATATTGTTAGCTTTTTAACTTACCGTTTTTGTCTGTATATTGTTAGGTTTCTATCCTACCGTTTTTGTCTGTATATTGTTTGGTTTTTATCTTATCGTTTTTGTCTGTATATTGTTAAGTTTCTATCTAAATGTTTTTGTCTCAATATTGTTAGGTTTCTATTTAACCGTTTTTGTCTGTATATTGTTAGCTTTCTATCTTACCGTTTTTGTCTGTATAATGTTAGGTTTCTATTTAAACGTTTTTGTCTGTATATTGTTAGGTTTTTATCTTACCGTTTTTGTCTGTATATTGTTAGCTTTCTATCTTACCGTTTTTGTCTGTATATTGTTAGCTTTCTATCCTACCGTTTTTGTCTGTATATTGTTAGCTTTCTATCTTACCGTTTTTGTCTGTATATTGTTAGCTTTCTATTCTACCGTTTTTGTCTGTATATTGTTAGCTTTCTATCTTACCGTTTTTGTCTGTATATTGTTAGCTTTCTATCTTACCGTTTTTGTCTGTATATTGTTAGCTTTCTATCTTACCGTTTTTGTCTGTATATTGTTAGCTTTCTATCTTACCGTTTTTGTCTGTATATTGTTAGCTTTCTATCTTACCGTTTTTGTCTGTATATTGTTAGCTTTCTATTTAAACGTTTTTGTCTGTATATTGTTAGGTTTCTATCTTGTCATTTTGTCTGTGTATTGTTAGCTTTCTATTTAAACCTTTTTGTCTGTATATTGTTAGCATTCTATCTTACCGTTTTTGTCTGTATATTGTTAGCTTTCTATCTTACCGTTTTTGTCTGTATATTGTTAGCTTTCTATCTAAACGTTTTTGTCTGTATATTGTTTGGTTTCTATCTTACCGTTTTTGTCTGTATATTGTTAGCTTTCTATCTTACCGTTTTTGTCTGTATATTGTTAGCTTTCTATCTTACCGTTTTTGTCTGTATATTGTTAGGTTTTTATCTTCCCATTTTGTCTCTATATTGTTAGCTTTCTATCTTACTGTTTTTGTCTTTATATTGCAGACAACCTATCTCACTGTTTTTGACTCTTTATTGCAGATAACCTATCTTACTGTTTTTGTTTCTTTATTGCAGACGAATTACCTTACCGTTTTTGTCCGTATTTTGTATCTAAATTGCAGGCTTTTTATCTGACTGTTTCTATCTCTATATTGCAGGCGTTCGTTCCATCTAACCGTTTTTGTGTCTATATTGCAGGCGTTCTATCTTACCGTTTTTGTCCGTATTTTGTATCTATAGTGTAGGATTTCTGTTTTACCGTGTTTGTCTCTATTTTGTATCTATAGTGTAGGTTTTTTATCTAACCGTTTTTGTTTCTATATTGCAGACGTGGAGAAAAAACGAAAATTTAACCAGGAACGCTTTGTCACCCCTGAATACTGATTTGGATATATAAATAGAAACACGTGCAACTGTGCGTCATTCAACATGTGGAGTTATCTCCTGTACACACTGTATCTTGAAGCGGCGGTGCAGTTTAAAAGAGACTTTTTGAAATATGTTATAACTCAGACAATTGTTTCACCACAAAACCGTTCTAACCAATGATTTCACTTGAATGAGGATTTTCTTTTTGGATATTGCTCATATATGCGAGACAGCAATTCTGAAAATCATATAAACTGGTCGAAAACAAAAGATAATTTTATAACACTTGCATTTTTTAACGTGATTAGAATTGAAAATAAATAAAATAAAATGTTGCGATCGATTTGAAAACTCTCCACGACCGAAAATAATCAATACGGGATAAATATATAACCGGCAGACGAGGAAAAGGTTTACTCAGAGTTCCAGCGTTAACGAAGAACTGAAATTCCTTAAAGTATACGAAGACGCTACCAAGATGACATTCAGACGCTTTGAGGACTGCTATTATACATCACTGTAGGATATATATCGAGACGATCAAGAGCTAGATGATTGAACTTTCAATACAAAAGTAACATTTTCGAAAGTAATTTCTATCATGGAATTGGAGATCAACCAAAGAGATGCACACGGCTTAGATATGGAGTTATCGTCCTCACCGGAAGTAGAAACTCCTGCGGGAACACCATCCCCGGAAGTTCGATCTAAAAAGGAAAAAAGAAAGATAAGTACGTCTTCCGTCTCTAGTAGTTCGCCAGGAAGGTCAAAGACTCGAAACCTAATGTCCCGATTAGGGCGTCGCACTGGACAAACAGCCCCCCTGGATACGGGAGAGGAAGAAAAGGTAGGTAAAGTATGGCGCAGTCTCCGGCAAGCGGTCAAGGTCACGAACGCCGTAACAACCAAGAAAAAGTCAACGGTGACACGTGAAGATTCATTTCTCAAAAAGTTTTCGACGCAACAGCCTTATAGAGTAGAATCCAATTGTAATCCTGTCGAAAACCACACTGAAAATGTAAGCAAACATGAGACAAAAGAAAAGCATCGTACAGTGTTTCGGATGGACGGTAACCTGATGTTTTATTGGACAGGAATAGTCACGGTGGCCGTGCTCTATAATCTATGGACGTGCATTGCACGTGAAGCATTTAGAGAGATACACGAGAACCATTTATTCGTGTGGATCACGTGCGACATCGTATGCGACATTGTGTATGTTTTTGATATCATTTGTCAGTTCCGCACAGGGTACTTAGATCAAGGACTTATGGTGTTTGATTCCTTAAAACTTGCCAAAAATTATGTCTCAACAAAATATTTCTATTTGGACCTCGCGTGTTTGTTTCCATTAGATTTTATACAGTTTTTCATTGGAATACACCCAATGGTGCGATTCCCAAGATTCATCAAGCTGTATCGAACGTTTCGGTTCCTTTACATGCTAGAATCACGGACGGCGTATCCAAATTTCTTTCGTGTAGCCAATCTGACGCATATACTTTTTCTCGGATCTCATTGGTTTGCTGCCTTTTATTACCTGATATCAGAAGCCGAAGATTTTAAAGGAGACTGGTCGTACCCTAAACCAATAGGAGAGTTCTCATCGGTGACCCGGAAGTATCTAGCTTCACTATTTTGGTCGACCTTGACCCTAACTACGATAGGTGACCTTCCACCACCGGAAACTAATTGGGAGTAAGTAAATATTTCTTTTTAGAAACAGATTTTTTGTCATATACGTGTTAGTTTATTGCTTTAAAAGATCTATATTTATAACTTTAAGTTCAGAGCTGTAAATATGCGTCTTCTTTATCAGGAATGCATTGCTATTGTATATCATTGTGACATACAGAAGACCATCTAATATTTTTGTAACATCAAATAGTTGGCACACGGGACTGAAAACGTTGCTTTTACCCGCGAACCTCTCAGTAAAATCAGATGCACTCATTCCCACAATTTTTTGCGATTTCCATTTTTATCTATAACTCGTTTTTGTTGTTTTGCAATTACCTTTCATACATAAAATACAAAACTGTTGAGCAATCACATCTGTATGCAGGTAGCTACACTAGAATGACATGGTTTCGAGTTAATTCTTAATAGTAGCATTTGTTTAAAAGAAATATTATTGAGTTGGTATTGTTTTAAAGAAGGACATAAACACAAAAAAGTCAGTTTGAATAATGATTAATTTTGTTAAAACATTTTTTGATATGTAAGCTTGTATGGGATTTGTCACAAACTTTACATTACACCACACAACTAGAACGGTAAAGTTTGTACTTTATAAGGGGATTGTCACTAATATAGACAACATCACACATATAGCACGGTCAGGTTTGTACTGTATACTGGGATTGTCACTAATATAGACAACATCACACAGATATCACAATCAGGTTTATACTGTATACGGGGATTGTCACTAATATATACAACATCACACATATATCACAATCAGGTTTATACTGTATACATGGATTGTCACTAATATAGACAACATCACACAGACATCACAGTCTGGTTTGAACTGTATACGGGGATTGCCACTAATATAGACAACATCACACAGATATCACAGTCAGGTTAGTATTGTATACAGGGATTGTCACTTATATAAACAACATCACACAGATATCACAGTCAGGTTAGTACTGTATACGGGTATTGTCACTAATACTTACAACATCACACAGACATCACAGTCAGGTTTTTACTGTATACGGGGATTGTCACTAATATAGACAACATCACACAGATATCACAGTCAGGTTAGTACTGTATACAGGGATTGTCACTTATATAAACAACATCACACAGACATCACAGTCTGGTTTGAACTGTATACGGGGATTGTCACTAATATAGACAACATCACACAGACATCACAGTCTGGTTTGACCTGTATACGGGGATTGTCACTAATATAGACAACATCACACAGACATCACAGTCAGGTTTGTACTGTATACGGGGATTGTCATTTATATAGACAACATTACACAGATAGCACAGTCAGGTTTGTACTGTATACGGAGATTGTCACTAATATAGACAACATCACACAGACATTACAGTCAGGTTTGTACTGTATACGGGGATTGTCACTAATACTTTCAACATCACACACATCACAGTCAGGTTAGTACCGTATACGGGGATTGTCACTTACATAGACAACATCACACACACATCACAGTCAGGTTAGTACTGTATACGGGGATTGTCACTTATACTTACAACATCACACAGACATCACAGTCAGGTTTGTACTGTATACGGAGATTGTCACTAATATAGACAACATCACACAGATAGCACGGTCAGGTTTGTACTTTATACGGGGATTGTCACTAATACTTACAACATCACACATACATCACAGTCAGGTTTGTACTGTATACGGGGATTGTCACTTATATAGACAACATCACACAGACTTCTCATTCAGGTGTGTACTGTATATGGGGATTGCCACTAATATAGACAACATCACACACACATCACAGTCAGGTGAGTACTGTATACGGGGATTGTCACTAATACTTACAATATCACACAGACATCACAGTCAGGTTTGTATTGTATACGGGGATTGTCACTTATATAGACAACATCGCACATATATCACGGTCAGGTTTGTACTGTATACAGGGATTGTCACAAATATAGACAACATAACACAGATATCACAGTCAGGTTAGTACTGTGTACAAGGATTGTTGCTAATATAGACAACATCACACAGATATCACGGTCAGGCTTGAACTGCGTACAGGGATTGTCACTTATATAGACAACATCACACAGATATCACAGACAGGTTAGTACTGTATACGGGGATTGTCACTAATACATACAACATCACACAGACATCATAGTCAATTTTGTACTTCATACGGGGATTTCACTGATACAGACTACATCACAAAAATAACACAGTCAGGTTTGCACTGTATACGGGGATTGTCACTAATACATACAACATCACACAGACATCACAGTCAAGTTTGTACTTTATACGGGGACTTCACCGATATAGACAACATCACACAAATATCACAGTCAGGATAGTACTGTATACGGGGATTGTCAACAACATCACACACACATCACAGTCAGGGTAGTACTGTATACGGGGATTGTCACAAATATAGACAACATAACACAGATATCACGGTCAGGCTTGAACTTCGTCCAGGGATTGTCACTTATAAAGACAACATCACACAGATATCACGGGCAGGCTTGAACTGCGGACAGGGATTGTCACTTATATAGACAAAATCACACAGATATCACGGTCAGGTTCGAACTGCGTACAGGTGTTGTCACTTATATAGACAACATCACACATATATCACAGACAGGTTAGTACTGTATACGGGGGTTGTCACTAATACATACAACATCACACAGACATCACAGTCAGGTGAGTACTGTATACGGAGATTGTCACTAATACTTACAATATCACACAGACATCACAGTCAGGTGAGTACTGTATACGGAGATTGTCACTAATATAGACAACATCGCACATATATCACGGTCAGGTTTGTACTGTATACTGGGATTGTCACTAATATAGACAACATCACATACAGTCAGATTTTTACTGTATACGGGGATTGTCACTTATACTTACAACATCACACAGACATCATAGTCAATTTTATACTTCATACGGGGATTTCACTGATACAGACTAAATCACAAAAATAACACAGTCAGGTTTGCACTGTATACGGGGATTGTCACTAATACTTTCAACATCACACACATCACAGTCAGGTTAGTACCGTATACGGGGATTGTCACTTACATAGACAACATCACACACATCTTATATAGACAACATCACACAGACTTCTCATTCAGGTGTGTACTGTATAGACAACATCACACAGATAGCACGGTCAGGCTTGAACTGCGTAAAGGGATTGTCACTTATATAGACAACATCGCACATATATCACGATCAGGTTTGTACTGTATACGGGGATTGTCACAAATATAGACAACATAACACAGATATCACAGTCAGGTTAGTACTGTATACGGGGATTGTCACAAATATAGACAACATAACACAGATATCACGGTCAGGCTTAAACTTCGTACAGGGATTGTCACTTATATAGACAAAATCACACAGATATCACGGTCAGGCTTGAACTTCGTACAGGGATTGTCACTTATATATACAACATCACACAGATATCACAGGCAGGTTAGTACTGTATACGGGGATTGTCACAAATATAGACAACATAACACAGATATCACGGTCAGGCTTAAACTTCGTACAGGGATTGTCACTTATATATACAACATCACACAGATATCACAGGCAGGTTAGTACTGTATACGGGGATTGTCACAAATATAGACAACATAACACAGATATCACGGTCAGGCTTAAACTTCGTACAGGGATTGTCACTTATATAGACAAAATCACACAGATATCACGGTCAGGCGTGAAATGGGTACAGGGGTTGTCACTTATATAGACAAAATCACACAGATATCACGGTCAGGCGTGAAATGGGTACAGGGGTTGTCACTTATATAGACAACATCACGCAGATATCACAGACAGGTTAGTACTGTATACGGGGATTGTCAACAACATCACACACACATCACAGTCAGGGTAGTACTGTATACGGGGATTGTCACTAATACATACAACATCACACAGACATCACAGTCAGGTGAGTACTGTATACGGGGATTGTCAATAATACAGACAACATCACACAGATATCCCCGTCAGGTTTGTACTGTATACAGGGATTGTAACTAATACTTTCAACATCACCCACATCCCAGTCAGGTTAGTACCGTATACGGGGATTGTCACTTACATAGACAACATCACACACACATCACAGTCAGGTGAGTACTGTATACGGAGATTGTCACTAATATAGACAACATCACATACAGTCAGATTTTTACTGTATACGGGGATTGTCAATAATACAGACAACATCACACAGATATCACCGTCAGGTTTGTACTCTATACAGGGATTGTCACTAATATAGACAACATCACACATATATCACAGCCAGGTTTGTACTGTATACGAGGATTGTCACTAATATAGACAACATCACACATACATCACAGTCAAGTTTGTACTTTATACGGGGACTTCACTGATATAGACAACATCACACAAATATCACAGTCAGGTTAGTACTGTATACGGGGATTGTCACTAATATAGACAACATCACACAGATATCACCGTCAGGTTTGTGTATTACTGTATAAGGAATCATCCGCATCTACTGTAAATAATATCAAACAAATAAGAAGATGAAACATTACGGTAATCGTCACTTAGAGAAAACATCACACAGATATCACGGTGAGATTTTTGTATTACAGTGCTCGCCTTTCCTATTCAGCGTAAGTATTTGTTGTCAAATTCTCACAGTGTTTTCGTTTCTGTAAACATGAATGGAGGTATCAGCATGAACAGATCACGTCTCCCTCTGTGTAACACTGAATTACGTTCATTGTTTTGATTTACTTGGTATTTATTTGCACAACTTGATTTGACACATGTGTTTAGTTTTGTACGCTGTGGTAGCTGGTTATTTTTGTTTTTTGTTTTTTGTTTTTTGGTTTTGTTATGTTTTTATTAATTATCACCAGGAAATTGCTATGAATTGTGTAGGAATGAGTGTATCTACAACCGTATTGAATTCTTTCATTTGACTGCTCGCATACCTATCTGCCGAAACTTTTCTACAAACGATGAAATGTGTGATACGTAGATTTTTGCATATATTTTTTGACAATGATTATATTTAATTAAAAGGCATGTACGTTATGATACCACCATTCGTCTAGGAAAATGTTAGCATTGCATAGGTATTAGGCGATACATTAAGGGAAACGTACAACGGAATTCTTCAGAAAACAAGAAAAAGTGACGTTAAAATATGTAAGCGATAAATGAGGTGGCAAATGGATCGGGGGACAATATATTGAGGTTTTAACGTAACATGTTCCCATTCAAAACTAAAATCAACTGCTTATATTATAAAAATAAACTACTTCAATTTAAACTAGTCGATCCAATTGAAAGTTGTATCCACTAGAATCAAGTTCTTGAAAACAGGTGACGCAGATTTCATATATAAACAAAGTGGGTTTGAGAAAAACTTTCAAGGCCCTTAACATAATATGGTCTCTTGTATTGCATTTCTTGTAGTCAGATCATTAGAAAGAAACTTGAACATTTCAAAATTAATTAATGCAGTTATATATGTTTAGGGGTATAATGCTATAACAATATTACGAATGCTTTCAGATGCGATTAAGCGCGTCTTAAATATGGTTATAAGCAACACTATTGCAAAGTTTCCACAATGTTTTGTATATGTATTTCGATCCCGTTATGGCATTTTTATTAATGAACCTTGAATTGTGAACGATAATAAAAATGGTCGTTATTTCGTGTCTTTCTCTATGTAGTACAAGGGTTCTTACTTTCATGCTTTTCGCTTTGGATTTAATTTAAATGTTTCATTAAGTAAGGGTTGTACAATTTATTTCGACAGCAATTTGAAAATCTTTTTAATCAAAACATGCCCTAGATAATCTTAATATATAAATATGTTATGTGTTCTTAATCTATTCTAAATTATCTTTCAGGTATGTTTTCGTCATAGTCAGTTACCTAATAGGTGTTTTCATCTTCGCCACAATTGTCGGTAAGGACATTGACTTTCACGATCTATTGTCATTATTCTTTGAATTCATTTTAATAATACTGGAAGGGTCATTGATCTACCTGTTTACCTCATCCCTATTGCTGTAATTATTAGTTATGTACAATGAATTGAATTCAAGAGCCTTTTTCAGAGCCAACAGGCGGGCAAACCCATGTTTTTTTACTTAATAATGCTGTTCTTGTTTTATGTCGTTGATGTAATTACACAGGTATGAACATTGTCGTCGATGTAATTACACAGTTATGAACATTGATATTTATTTATTATCACACTGTGTGGGTTTGTCGTGAGAACAATTTTCTTATCGCGAGCACGTGGATATAATCGAAAGGCCATCGCAGGTGGACTCGAGATTTTATCCATGTGTGAGCGATAAGAAAACTGTTCGAACGACAAACCCTGTAAATATTGATAATGTGATAAACTGTTTATAATTTATTTACTACTACCTTATATATTTCTTCATTAAAAAAAGTCAACTTCACACCATATTTTCCAAATGACTTCTAGGCTCAATTGTCATCGATCGCACATCCTCAGCCTGTGGCAAACGTAAACAAATAGAAGATTTGCGCGGAGGAATACCATGAACCTTAAAATCAAGTAGAACTAAGAAGAAAAAAAAAATATCTGATCGTCATTGGCTTTTCCATATGCGTATTTATGCTTGAAATGGTGTTGTTATTCTCACAATATTTTTTCGTAACTTTGTATTGATGTTTTTGACTTTGACGGACTAATTTTTTACGCTGATACCTTTTGTGTGGAAATTAGTTCCGGTTTCGGACGTCACCTTACGCGAGCAGGCGTTCTTCTCAAGTCGTTCTCAGCCTCTTCTTATACTGACGACCCATGTTATTTAATCTATCATGCTACCGATAGGTGGTATAAATGAATCCGTAATTCAAAATCGTATCTGAAATCTTTTCTTTCGTTTAAAACACATCCTTATTTTATTAAAAAAATCTCACTAAATTGTAATATATTCACATTTAATATTTTTCTTATATTTTTTTTCCTTCACGAAGATGATACGGATAAGGGTTTATTATCACATTGAATAGGTATTTTTCTGACGTATATTTTTTGTAAATATTCTAACCTGTAATCGATTAGTCATTTTTTACGAGGAAGGTAAGAGACCGCACGTTCAATAGATTAAATCGGCCAATAACGAGAATACTGTATCATACAATACTTAACAAACACATGTCTGCATGCAACCTATACCAATGATCTGCTGTTGTTTATATCAAACACAATATGTCTCATAGAATCAGGAAATACGCCTAACCTAAATATAACCTATCCGGGTTCGTCGTAGTCAAACTCTGAACGGTAAATCTTTGTGTACATGTCAAAAGCCGTTTCCCATCAGGTACTCTATTTGACATTACACAATCTTAGTAGTTGGACCAGGTCCATTGTGTTTCAAGGGGTGAAATTTATTAACACTACTGAATCCAAACTTTGTTGATATTTCTTTGATCTACGAAACGTCACAGTCAGTAGAGTTTTTGCTAATCGTTCGCAATGGGCGACCAATCATTTGCTATCTACCTGATTCTGTTAATAGGATCATTCTGATTGATACCTACCTACTTTTCCTTCGCCCCAGCCGGAGCATAAGGTCGCCACAAGATTTCGCCACACAGTTCTGTCTTTTGCGTTTGTTTCAGTTTCTCTCCAGGTCATATCATGCTCTTTCAGTTCAGATCCGATGGTTCTGTGCCAGGTGGTCTTAGGTCTGCCTCTTGGTCTCCTTCCCTGGGGTATCAATCTAAGGGCTATCCTGGTTGTATTGGATCCTGGTATCCTGATAACATGCCCCACATAACGAACAATGTACGTCTTCATTATGTACACAAGTAAATCTACATATTGAACTAAAGTGCAAAATTGCAAAATAGCTTCTTTGATTTGGTCTGAACTATACTCATTGGGTCAAGTCAACCGTTGTATCTGGGGGGAAAACGGCTTTTGTTACATTCACATAGTAGCATACCGAACGTCAAAGAGGTGGTTGCAAAGCTTTACCATTTGGTGATTGGCTACGATCAATCTGGATAAACAGAAATAAATAAGACTTACTTGAAAGTTTCTTTTTCTAATAACGTACAAAAAGTCCTATAAATCTGGCATGCTTTTCTTAATTGAGCAATACTATGAGTTTGTCAAATAAATTAAAAGGGTTTCTTTCACGTTGATTTCGAAATTTCTCTTTGTTTGTTTTCCAATTGTTCGACGTTCAAAAATATGTTCTAAAATTAATATTCCAGAGCACACGATACCGTCGTGCTGCACTTGAATCAATTGTGTTTGTTCCGTACCGTAATAATGATTAACCGACATGAATGACAAGTATCAAACCTTAGATATTTTGATTAACAAAAACAGAATAGAACGTTTCAGATGTAGCTGTCTGCAAACAGATGTGGGGGGAAAATAAGCTAGAGGAAAGTATCGTGCAAATTTGTGCGTGGAAATCACGTAATTTTTTAAAATATATGAGTCAGTGTAAATAGACTGTGTTTGGTAAATATATTTAGACACTTGTGTGCGTAATTGTTTTGGATTAGAAATACCGGCTTTTGTTACCAAATCAAGCTTTCTATATCTTAATAGTATCTACAACTCCTCTGGTATTCCAAATCGCAGTAGCGTATATTGGGTCTCATGGCATAGTTGGTAGTGTTCAGCACAGAGACCTGAGAATTTGTTACAGTTATACTTGGACCCACACTGAGGTGTTCAGTGTAATTTTGCATGTTTTAGGAGTTCAGATCGACTTTCGGTAAATATGCCATCCCCAATGCTTATACTGTATATGCAAGAAGGGAGGAAAGCTCTCGATGTCAAAAAATCGACCCCACCTAACTTTCTTGCATCAAAAAACACATTTCTAGTTGATGTACAAAACAATNCCGTTGGAAAGATGGATAATTTTTCTCTTAAAATCCTTCTATATGCTCGTTAAATGTATTTCCTTCTGTGGACATGATCTCCGTGTCCTCCAAAAACACACGCCACTTCCGAGTTTCAAAGTTTTTCGCAGTCATAGAGCCACTTTTGTGTATTTTTGATGTTGACGTTAGCAACGTGACGTTGAAAATAAATAACCATGACAACCAGAACACGTATACAACCTCAAACACACACACACACTCACACATAAGGAAGTTCTAAAGGGGCTGCTTTCCTTATCTACAACGCGTGTAGAATAACATTACTTTGCTATTTTAATAAGTTAAGATCTGGCTATTATTGCGTTTAATAATACATAGCATTGTCAGTAACGTGCTACAGTTAATTAAGTCTTATGTGGAAGTTTTTTTGGCATTGATAAAAAGAACCAAGATAGACTTTACATTATAATTGTTCAAGTTGAAAAACAAAGAAGTAATTCACGACAAAAAGCCGAAAAAGTCAAAACTGAAAGTAACGGATTGAGAGGACATCAAACATGAGGGGGAGACTAAAAAATAGAGTTAAATTAAATCTCATTGTGCTTGTAACTTCGTTTATACATTAGAGGTTAATAAGAGAGAGAGAGCTTGATATGCTTCCTCATCTACATGTTTACTGTAAAATCATAAATTTTCGTGGGACATTAAAGTTTGTTTATTTACAGACATCCACGAAATTAACTCCCCACGAAAACATACATTTGGTATGATATAGATAGGGGAAAATCAGATATCAGCGAAATATAATGTCCTTGAAACAGGCTAGCATATGAATACCACGAAATTTTAAATCCACGAAAATCAATGATTCTACTGTACATCAGTGGATCCTTTCCTCTTTTCAACCGGGTAAATAGTACCTGAACGTTGGAGGATGTATTAAAAGAATTCACATGTATACCACAACATTGTATACACTGTTAATAAAACATTGATGCATTCAAAATTGAAAGAAGAGAGGTAAATTGATTAATTACATGCCTGTGGATATGTGTAGTGACGCCAGGGAACACAGACTATAATGTAGAATGATTGATTTTGGTATAAAGACCCTAAGATATAACTCGTCCTTTTTGAACGGAGTATTCGTGTTGGAATAATGTTATCCTGCACAATATATGAATTCACATTTAGATATGCAGATGATGTGATGTTATGTACTTCATGAGTGTGACAGAACATCGATGACTTTTTAGAACGCGCATTGCTTAGGTTAAATGTTGTGAATTATGCTTATCACACGAGTGTAACTAAGTTAATGAGATTTCTGAGACGAAATGAATAAGAGTTTTTTGCTGAGACGAATGAATGGGCGATTTTTGAAACGATAGTTTCATTATGGTGACACATTCAACATTTTACAAACATATATTTTTTGTAGATGAATGTAAAACATGTTTAATTATTGTTTTCAGGACAGGTGGGAAATGTTATAACAAACCGAAATGCCAGTAGACAGGAATTTGAGAGACTGCTGGTAAGTTGGAATACGAAATGTTCATATCATAAATGAAAGTCAAACATATGGAATTTCATAATCATTGGTACATGTATGAGGACTAAATGTTTTATGAAAATAACATAATTCGTAGTCAGTATACTCTGTAGACTTATAAGATATTATGGTTACCGATTTAAGATGTTTAAAGTTTTACTTCTGATGTAGGATGGGGCTAAGCTATACATGAGGATGCACAACGTTCCACCACAGCTTCAGAAACGGGTACAAAGATGGTACGATTACGTCTGGAAACGGTAAGTCTCCCACAGCTTCAGAAACGGGTACAAAGATGGTACGATTACGTGTGGAAACGATAAGTGTCCCAAAACTTCAAACATGTTTACAAAGATGATGCAATTACGTTCGGAAACATTAAGTCTCCACACAAAAGAAATGTGGTCAAAACATTACATCTGAAAACGATCTCCCTAAGCTCAGACATGTGTACAAAGACAGTGCGATTGCATCTGGAAATGGTCTGTTTACTACAGCTCAGAAATGTGTACAAAGTCGGTAAAGATATGTGTGGAAACGGTTATACTACCTCAGCTTCTGAAACGTGAACAAAGTTGTACACTTTCGTGTGAAAACGGTACAAAGGTGATACGAAAAGAACAGAAAAGAAAAAAAAGTAAGTGAAGGAATATGACCTGAAACATGTTATCAAAAAGGAAAATAAGCAATATGAAACATGTATAAGGAAATGAAACTTGTTGAGGGGTTTATATTTAATCATTGTGGTATTTATTTCTTTGTAAATTTCAACATTTTTATTATTGTTTTATTGTATGATTGCTAATTATGCAATGCGCAGAGGTTACGTGTAACGATGGAAGGGTAAAGGAACTATCATTTCAGGATGCTATTATAATGTTTGAGCTTATGAATCCACAACTTTTAAATCTTTACTTGCTTTTGTTATTACTCTTTAGTCGTCATTATTGTATATGTAATAAATGTGAAAAAATCTACATAACGGAATCTACATAATTTCGGTCACGCTATACCTATTTTATAAAATGTAATAACAGCGTTGCAGTAATATTTATCACGGTTATGATAACGTTGAAATGAAATAGTTTTTCCCTTTTATGGTAGTCATTTGATATAATTTTATTTAGCAGAAACAACGATACTCGATATTTTATTCTTTCTGATAAAATACTGCAGAAAATCACCTGTCACCAACAACTTTTGTTTTACATCTAATTGTTTTCTGTTACATTATGATGACTTAGACAATTAAAGTGCATCTTTTCAATATCAATGGACTCATCTCACAGGAATAATAATGAAAGACATATCAGCGCGCCATATGACGTCATTCAGAGTAATATGATATACAAAAAACATCTGAAATGAACTTTTTCAATTGTTATAACTGAAATGAGTCAAGAGGTTTTCTGTATTTTATGTGAGGCCTTTCTTAGATAATGGAAAAGTTTGATAAGAGCTCATAACTCTTATATGAAATGAAACGAATAAGAGCTCTTTAGATAACATTACCTTGCATGAAATTAGAAAAGCATTTCTTTTTTACCCCCTGCAAGACCTCAAATACGCCATGTATACCTAATATCTATCGTCTGCAATGCACTCTCACAGAGTTGTGACGTCTTGTTTTGTATCTTAACTTTGACGTCACAAGGCGTGATATTACACGTTGGAATACACAACAATGTGTCATTGGTTTGTATGTACTAAAAGCGTTATGCTTCAGGAACCACATCCTCAAATAACAGGATTATATTATAAATAATAAAAAATATTATGTAAATATAACCGCCAATTGTTGTCTACGTCTGGTTTTATGACATTTATATTATAACATTTAACGTAATCCATTATTACTACAGTGACAGGATGAAGGGATCTGACATCAATTCTCTTGGTATGCTACCTGATAAGGTTAAAACTGAGCTTGCCATTCATGCGAACCTCGAGACACTGAAAAAGGTAGTGCCCATTTATTGACGTTTCTATCAATATTTTTAAAAAAATACAGTTTTCTGAAATAGGCTGCCTTGGATTATTTCTTTATACATAGAGAGTCAGACGATTTTGTTTACAAAAAAAGGCTTTTCATGAATGAGAAAAACGATAGATATATTATGAAATTGTTTCCTCCTTTGATATGCCATTCAGTCAATCAATTCATTATTTCAAGTTGTATCGAAACATTTCTTGTACATTTTCTTTCATTTAATATTTTCTTTTAGTATTCGTTCTCATGAAATGGTAACTAAAAAGAAAACTATTTTAGATTAAACAATTCACTGTATCTTTATAAGTCATAACAAAGTTATAAGTTGGTACAGTATTATTTTTTATAAAAATATTATAGAAATCTTTCGAGCCTTTTCTATTTTTCAGGAATATTTCAATGTTCATTGGTAAAAGAGGGTATGGAAGTTTTTAGTTTAGGGATTTCTTTTGACGATATAAACTTTCTCACTACTGACAAAATGCTATAATACTGGAGGAAATTTGTTTATTACCCTACATGCATGAATAATTTCTTGAAAACTGAATGCTTCCAGTATTCTGATCTGTTATCAAGTCATTTAAAGTAATAATATTTTTGTCATAAAAATTCTTAAAAAATACTGATTTCTGACCAACAGCTATATTTCTGTTAAACCATAATGGTGTTTTTAATATAGAATCCTTCATAAGACTATATTTTTCAATTAATAAATTCAAGCGGTAACAAGCTTTGAAATCATCGACCCAGAAAGTATGTCTTCACTCTTTTAGACATTTTTGCACATAATCATTGCCACAGTTGGCTAGTAGATCTATGTTAACGTATTTTTTTAAAATTACGTTAACATGAGGTCTGAAAAAGCCTTGTGATCCAAGATGATTTTAATAAATCTATAAATGCTTTTAAATTAATCATTTTTAAACCAACCTTAAGGTAAACTTGGATATTAACTTATCTTTTGACTTTGTCTGTTTTGCTGTACCACAAAACTTCAAAAAAACAGAATTAAGTTTTTGAAAGAAAACATTCATCGAGATTTGGCAGTGCTATAATTAGATGGTTGAATTGTGAAATGAGAAGTTATTTGATAATATGGATTCTACCAATTGGAGTTAAATTTCTTCTTGTCCAGGTTTTTATCAACGACTTCAATTTTATCAATTTTTGGTCAAAATTCATTTTTGGTATCTCGTGCAAGTTAACATGAAACTCAATCCCTAAAAGTGTGAATTTGTGTCTGCCCCATTGCAAGTTATTTTCTGGGAGGAAGGTGTCTTCACTAAAAAATCTACTACCAGTTCAGACTACCTGTGTTTTGGATACATTAATGTTTAGACAAGATATTTTAGCATATTTTTTCAATGAAACCCCACGAAACCGAGTTAAAAGCCTTTCCAAATCTATCATCAATAGCATACCAGGGATATTATTTTCTTCACTAAATTGCAGTAAGTCATAAACTAATCGTGTGTTTTCCCCAATGTAACGCCCCGCGAGAAATCTGATCCTTATCTATCAGGTTGTTTAAGACTGTTTTCATTTTACGTGTAATTGTTCCAGAAGCTATTTTATATATAACAGTGAGTAGTGTAATTGGCCTCCAGTTTTTAATGAAGTGCCTAGGTTTATCTCCCTTTGGTATGCAAGTTACAATTCCGCGTTGTTGAGAAATAGACAGTTTACCCTTTTCATAGCCTGAATTAATAAATCTTAATACAAAATTGCCCAAATATTTCCAAAAACATTTTTAAAAAACTCAGCTGTAAAACCATCTATGCCAGGACTTTTGTTATTTCTAATGTTTTTTTTTTAAGTTTTACCTGCTTCTTCCAGTGTTATAGGACCCTCTAATTTTTCTGCATCTTGCCTCCTTAGTTTACAAACATTACAGTCTTTAAGTTATTCATTCAAATGTACATCTTCTATTTCACTGTCATAACTACAGATTTTTTCATCAAAATTGCGAACTTCATTTAAGATTTCTTAAATTTCTATGTTCGAAGTTGAAAAAATAGTTTGTTGTCTTCTCAACTTCTTCAACCCATTTAGCTTTTGATCTTATTATGCTACCTTTGATTTTATATTCTCTGATTTTTTCTAATTCTTTCTTTTTAGAGTCTAATTGGACTAAATTAATATCATCCTGTTCCTCAAGTTTTTGAATCGCTATTCTTAGATTATTTTCATTCAAGTTTTGCTGTTTCTTGGCGTGGGCTGAGTAAGAAATTGCTTTACCTCTAATGTGTGTAAGTAAGGTCTCTAGGAAAGGTGAATCATCAATAGTAAACTGAAGGTCTGCATCTGGTATGTTTATAAGTTTTAAACAGGGGTTTATAAACAGGGTGAAAAATATTCTTTTAAAATCCAAAATACATTCCTTCACTAGATTAATATACTTTAGATAATATAATAGGCTATTGTTGAATTTCCAATTACCTTTCCCTGTTTTAAATTCAGTGAGTTTTAGAGAAATCGAAGGAAAAGAGTGGTCTGATCTGTATCCAGCTTCTATATTTGATTGTATAGTACTTGCAAGTAAGTTTTCAGTCACAAGAAAAAAACTAAGCCAGTCTGTTTTTTTGGATTACTTTTCCTCCAGGTGTTTCTTTTTTAAGTTCTCGTGATGTTCCCTAAACATATCAATCAAAGAGAAATTGTCAATGATGAACTTTATCCCTGGCATTAGGGTTGTTAATATGTTTGTAACTATTATCGTTATCTATAATGGGGTCTAGAACTAAGTTAAAATCGCAACAGATGATAACATATTCATTATTGAAGTCTTTAATGGTTTCAGATACAAGATAAAAAAAAATACAGGATTATTCTCATTTGGACCATATAAGTTAATTAGTGTCATTTTTAAATTTTTGATTCTAATTTCAACAGTTAAAAAAATACCACTAGATCCTTTTCTCACTTTAAGTATTTTAATAATTTTTTTTTAAATAAGATGGCAACAGTTCTCGAGTTAGAGTTATAGGAATTGAAAAAACACTGAAGCCCCCACTCATTTCTAATTATATCCTCTTTTTCATCAGTAAACTGTGTGTCTTGTAAACATATGATTTTACATTTCATTGCTCTAACGTATGAAAAAAATTCAGTACGCTTTGCTTTTTCTCCAATGCCGCGACAGTTTGCTGTTATGATCAAGAGAGAGAGAGAGAGAGAGAGAGAGAGAGAGAGAGAGAGAGAGAGAGAGAGAGAGAGAGAGAGAGAGAGAGAGACGAAAAGACTTTACATAGAAAGATTTCTTTCGTTGTTTATCTTTGTTTATTATATTTTTACACACTTTCCTTTCAATCCAGGTAACCATATTTCAAGAGTGCCAGCCGGAGTTTCTTCATGACCTGGTGCTGAAGATGAGGGCGTACATTTTTACCCCAGGAGATTTGGTCTGTCGACGCGGAGAAGTAGCACGGGAGATGTTTATTATAGCTGATGGTCTCGTTGAGATAATTGGGTGATGATAATTACCAAAACAACAATTTCCTCTAAAAATATAAAGTATTAGGCTTGGAAGATGTTTTTATTATGGAATAATAGGTTTTGTAACAAATTGGTATATAGAGAAACATTGACTCTGCTCAACGAATTCTCCAGTTATGTTATACAAAGATAGGTAACTCTGGATGAGAAATTGGAATTAGCAGGCCTAAAAAGGTAGCGAAGGGAAAAAAAGATAATTTTGAACACAATAAAAATTTCCACATATTTAACTGCATTGGTTTCAATGTAAAAATATAGTATTTTTAAAAAGGTTATCAACAGTACAGTTATCACACAAGCAATCATACGCAAAATATGTTTGATATAGTATTATAGGAAGATAATGAACTAAACGAACTTTATGCACGAAATGGTGATAAATGGAACATGATACAGTTTTATATTTTTTATCATATCTTATTTCTTTGCAGCGAAACAGGAGCAATACTGACTCAAATGGGAACTGGAAACTTTTTCGGAGAGATTGGTATTCTTAATCTTGATGCCGGTATCAACAGGTAACCCATACCATGTTTCCATATAACGGGATATATGCTTTATGGCCTGTATCACTGACATTCTGTTTCTCTTTCAAACGCTATATCAAAGCGGGTTCTATCTAAAGGTAATCTTACTCTCAAAAGCACCAAAGACGATAGTTTGATAGGTAAACTCCGAAGATCTTTTGACGTTAAAGCATTGTGCATTTCCTAATGTAGTTAGTGCATTGATCAATTTATCAGTGGGTCATGGCCATACCATGACACCGTCTGGACATGTCCTTCTTCTAAGTAATAAACAGTTCTAAATAAGATAAATTGGTTATAAAAAAATAGCCTGGCATATTCTAAAGATTTCTTTTTTCTCGTTGACTTATTTTTCCTTCAGCACATTTTATCTCTAAGTAAGTAAGGGTTTAACGAATTAATAAAATGGTAATAATTATATATGGTGTTTTAAGTGGTGCTCTTACCTCCAGAATTGAAATAGCAGATGTCATGGTGCAGAAAACGCTTGTTCTTCCTGTAGAACCCGGATTACTTTGTCGCTCCTCCGTTGCTTTTTGTAGTTGTTCCTGATCTCTTTCCCTTCGTTTTAACAGATGTCGATAACTAATTGTTATTAAAGTTATTCAATATACACATTGTTTTTCTAACATCATGACAAAATATTTTTTGCTGAGTCTTTATTAAATCTTTCTGCGAACTTTCAGGCGAACGGCCGACGTAAAATCAGTTGGCTATTCGGAACTATTCGGGTTGTCTCGGGAGGATGTGTTAGAGGCCCTCAAGGATCACCCTGATGCGGAGGTATGTACAATTTACTGCCGCACTCCAGAAAAGTATACCTGATCTAGAGAAAAAAACCAAGTAAAACTGAATATGCATCTTATCACGTCGGTGATATCTTGAAATGGTTGTTTTACATATTTTATTTTGTGAATTTATTATACTTAAAGAAAAAAGCTTGAGTTGGCATGCATTTGAAAACTTTATCTCGCAGGTTTATGGTGTTTGATTTGTACCATTTCATCGTTGTGCAAGGCGAAGGGACCAAACATTTATAATTTGCGTTACTTCATTCTCTCCCTTTTAAACCGAGAAGACGAAGGAAAGAAAACACAAAGAACGTGGAGATTAGGAAAGAATATAAGCACTTTGCTATCTTTGTCTTATCGTTCATTCGTCTTCATGTCTGGAGAGACGACGGAATGAATTACCGATACTTGCCTTTCATTCGTTCCCTACCTACTGTAATACAGAATAAAGAAAAGAGAAAATGGCACAAATAACCAACCATTAAAGGAAACATACAGTTTATAGTTTAAAGTACCGTTGACTTTATAATTTTAATAGATTTATAGCATTAATAAAAAAAATATTGTCTAAGATCCTTTAATATTCTTTTTTATTTTTGAAATGTTTAATCAAACAAAAGATAATATTCTATATTCAAGACACACATAAAGTTGATTCGTGGGTAATAAGAGTAAAAACGACATTCGCGTCGATTCGTAAATTTTAATTGCAGGAATGTGAAGTAAATTTAAAAGATGTACATAAAAAAACATATCAATCTGTAGACTATTTTAGTGGAATATGGAAGAAAAAGATTGAAATTTTCTGCCAAAGACAATCCGTGCAATGGAAATGTTGTTAAGAACATTGATGATAAGAAACCCAAGAACAGTATCAGGTATCACACGTAGGTCACGTGGTTTAGGTTTAGTGGTATTTGTAGTATGTCATGTCGTGCAAATAGATACACCCGCCACACAGACGCCATAGCAGATTTTAATTGATAAAGGTCTGAACTTTAGACTTGTCATTAATGAATGAAAATTTAAAAAATCGTCTCAGTTGAATGACATATTTTACAAAATTGATTAGGATATCGTTTGTTGTCATTCTGTTATGAATGGCACAGACGTCGATATTGTCCAACACTTTTATTCGAAAAGTTCTACATGTATTCCTATTGGAAGTATCAACCTCTCTAGTGACTGAAGACAATGGTCTGCTATGGCGACTGATCCCATTTGATGCAAAACGTAGAAGCTTCCGTATAGTCATCCTACTAATAAATAATCCACGTTTGTTTCAGTTAATGTTGGTTCTGCTTTCACTTAGCGATTTACTGAATACTAATTAAATATAGTGAAGGGTCCATTCCACAGTCGTTTACTGTCATATAATTTTTCTCACAGCGGTTTGCTTCTAAGGGTCAAGATAGGATGTAAAAAATGACCAAGAGAGCTACAAAATGTCAGAATTTAAATGTCAACAGTTGAAAGACCCTTACAAAATTTCTCCTATTACTTATTGATATAAAACTTAATAGCATCGAAATGATTTTTGGCCATTACAAAGCATATATATAACATAGTAATGCACTATTTATATTAATGACAAATTGTGAATGTGGGGACTCAGTTTCTACGTTATTCTCTAAATTAACATTGACTAATATTTATGTAATATAGTTTTAACATAGAAATTTGTTATTGCTTTACAGCAAATTATCCGATGCTATGGACAAAGTCGGTTAAAGGAAACTGAACAGCATCGCAAACAGACAAAACAATCATTTAACGCAAATCTATCACCGGGACATCTATGGTCGCCAAATTCCCCGTGCAAAGGACTTTGTGCGATTATAACCCCCTCTCAACAAGTGTCGCCCAATAAGCAAGGAGGATTGCCTGGAATTCGAATTTCAAATTTTGATGACGAAAACGAAAATCGGTTGAATGGAAAATCTAAAATTGTTAATAGTGTCAAAAGATTAGTAGGTAAACGGAGTCGAAGAAAGAGCTATAAAAGTCAACATAAAATTCACCAGACAAGTTTGGTCCATCCAGTGGAAAATTCCCATTCCAGTCCTATGTATCCAGGTTATGACACAGAGACAAATCTATCGGCAAACGTCAGAGGCAATCCGAATGGAACTTTAGTTTGTGAAGCTATAGAGAACGATAGTAGTAACGAATCGCTTGGTGTTGATTCGGCTGAACTACTTACACAATCACTAAGCGTAAATCCGAACGACTCGTGCCAGAGGCAGAGTTCAAGTGAACATAACACAAATGTTGCAACGATGGGAATTGTAGAAGAATGTGGGATGTGCTCAAGAACGAATTCCCAGAAAATACAGACAGGAGTCAGTATATCTTCGACGGATGTGATTAGTGCTGATTTGTTATCACCTGTCTCAAATACTAATACTCAAAACCTACTTATGCAAGGAAACCCTACAACACAGCAACCCGTTACCATGTCAACTAATAGTCACGAAAATTGTGCAGACACAGTTACTAGCCCTAACAGTGGAAACTCTTCCAGGTATAGTGAGAGACACGCTACTGTAGTGATGCTTTCATATATGCAGTGTTTTAGTTGAAATATCATGGACCAAATAATTGCAAAAAATCAAACATTTGCACCAATTTTAAAAGGGATGCTGAGTTGATAAAAGTTAAAATGTCTAATTTTTCTAAAATTCATTTTATGTTTTAATATGTCTAAGAAACATTGCCGTGTCTCTGACTACCGATAGAAATACACATATAGGTTATGCAATCATATCATGATACTTCTTTATCTATTTTGATAATTGATTCCTATGACGCATTACATATGGTCCATTCTTTTGTAAATTGTAAGAAATGTGTTCGAGTTTACTCTCTGAAAAACATCAAATGTGGATTAGATTAATATGAAGGCATGGGTTCTTATCTCCCGTTTGAATGTGTCAGTAATCCATTAACTGATTCTAAAATTACATTCATAAATGCGTTTCTTATTGTTGAATTGATTGAAGCGAACATCATGGTGGCCTTTATTCTTTGTGTAGAAAAGGTATAAGAAATGTATACATCAGATGTGCCAGTATTCCACTCTATTATTTTTTATTACACACTTACTATATACACATTTTTAGACGTGCTAGATAGTATACTTACCGTCAAACATTCTGCAAATATTCGTGATAACTTTGTTTGTACAAATATAGAGACATGACCCTCGCATTGATAAAACCGTTTCCGTGATCAAAATCAAGTTACGTGCTCAAATCGGCGTTCTTACAACTTACTGAGATTGATACAGTCAATACTCACCATGGGAAAAGTTCTAAGCCACATCCTTCGATTAAGTACTGACAACAATTAATATTAATCTAGTTAGGGTGCGTAATCTGAGTTTGATGACGGTCTTGCGAATACGGGGCTTGGTTTCTTGCAGAAAAATGTAGGTCAATTTTAACGTTTCATCGTATTTAATTATCAGCCTCAAAGAGAAAAGTATGCGTACACTATTTGTAAATGAACAATGCTGTTTTTGTTTTTAAAATATATCTATTGCTGAAACAATATATTCTAATTTGAAACAGTTTGCTGTCATATGGTGCAATATTTACCATTTCAATAATTTTGTCTATTCCATGGCCTTAGTGGATTGTACCAACCGTCATATCGAAATTACATCCGGGTTCTCCAAGGTACGTCAAAATGGCCAGAATCCTTCACATTACCGGATAAAATCACAGAGTAAGTATGACAGCATTAATTAAATGTTTTCGAGCATAACTAATAGATTTACAGAGTTAGATATACTAAATTATTGCTAACACATGCAAACATGATGAAGTTTAATGACACTGTAATGCGTAAACATTTCGAGTGAATATCTTAATGTCACTTTGTGAATATCATAATATTGTGGGATGATTAAGATAAAAAAAAATGACTGATTATTTTAGAATAACTGACTCGTGACTTTGTTCCAGTATCGAAGAAGAACATTCACCATGTGGCTCGCCCCGGATATGTAGTCGCCGTACGTCCGTTGGATCTGCAACCCACGATAGCCGTGCCACGTGCTGTTGTTACAAATTAAGACATCACTTTAATGACATGGAACACAAACTGGTGGGTTGGTGATTGTATAAAATGTTTTTGTTAACACTTTCCTGCTTCCAAACGTCGTTCCATCATCTTTTACTTAATACTTTTGTTCCCAGAACTCAACGTCTGTAGAAAGTCACGTAACAGTATACAAATAAATTTAAAGACAATTTTAAAAGACCATGCTAAATATTATTTGAGTCTTTTTCAAGGGAGACAACCTTTTCGTAGTATAGCATGATATTTGAAATAATGCACCTTCAAAATGTCGGTAAAACCGAACTATTTATTTACTGTTTTACATGCAACTCTATAAAGATATCCAATAGAGTTATCCACAAAGCCTTCGAAACTCGTATTTCAAAGAAACACCTCTTAGGATGGTTAAATGTCGCGCTGGTTTCAAATATGTATATGATATAAAAAAAAATATGTCCGTCTCTTAAAGACTATGTACAATCAAAGTCCCTTTTTTCAGGATGAATGCTATGTAATGTTTTCTCTTCTTCTTCCTCTCCTTTTCACCCAGAGAAAATTTAAATTTTCGGCAATTTTGATAATGATATAATGATGATATGATTGCAATCAGTCATATCTTGACAAATGACCAGTCGGTCTTGAAACGTTGCGACACGTTTAATACGTACATTGTTTGTGTGAAAAACCAACCTAAACTTTGATATCACATATTTCCAAACTGATGAATCTAATTGAAGATTTCAGCAATTTTGGTAATGACATGAAATACCATTCAATAACTGTATTTGATACTTTATAGATATTTTTCCAAACGAAATCTAACATACATACAATTACCTTGAGAAGGAGAGAGGATGAGAAAAGAATCCAAGGGAAGGGGATTCAGGGTGATACACTAGTCAAAACAGTCAACAGTGTGCATGTACTGTATACATGTATGTAGTACGCATATGTGCACACACGCACACATGTAATTCTGTCAGGTATAAATCGTTTACCATTCTGGAGAATTAGTTTTCTCTTTAAACGTAGTAGGTGTAACTCCCTATTGGTGTCGTTTTTTGTTGAATTTCAATTCAATATTTATATTATACATACAATTTATGTTTATCTTGTAGGGGAACATGGAAGAGGTTTATACAAATACCTTAAAAATGCTAAGTGCAATTTCCGAACAACAAATTTTAATGATGAAAGAAATGAGTAAACCCAAGACCGTGTTAATGGAGGTAAGCACCCTTTATTCAAAGCTTAATGTTATACTTATTTTTAATATATACAAGGCGGTATCATAATGAACATCATCCATTTAAATGAAACTTATTTGCAATAAAAAAAATGTTCATAATTGATTTTATGTTAACCACTGCAATTAATGAGTGTGTTTTTGTTGGAATATCACTAGAAAGTTTTTCAAGTCCACTCATAACACCATACGATCACATTTCCCTGCTAGTAACTTATATTTATTTGATGAGTACTGGTGTATTCCAAAATTGCATTTTAACTGTAGTATATTGTTCTTTAATAAACTGATGGTGCGTGTGTTAAAATAACTCCTCCATGTTAGTAAAAAGTATATTGTTTCAGATGTTAAAAACGATCCCCTATTTTTTCGTTATTTTCGAGCTTTTCTGTCATTCTTTTCGTGTTGTTATGAATTAGAAAATGGTTGAATAACAAGTAACTGTCGGATATATATACAATATACAGTCCGTATAGCAAGTTCCAGCTTCTAGGTTGGGTCAAGTTGAATTGTACTAGACTAATTGTGGCCAAACAATTTATTTGTGTGTATATTTATATAGGACAGATGTTTTCTCAAAACAAGATATTTCACGATAAGCGTTGATAAACTTTACTGACCTTAATTAAACCGCTTTAATAACATTACAGGTGAACGTTGTTCCACAGCTTTTTATCACGGGCCCTGGCAAAGAACAAAACGTTTATTTTTTATTTTTTTCTCACTTTGCATTTGTTTTGCTTGTGTCATTTACATAATATTTAGAACATCGTTATTTTTCATCAGTGGATAATGAACTACAAAACAAAGATACCTTTCAATACTACGCAATACCATCAGAAATCTTATTTTAATAACTGTGTAATTCTAACTGACAGCTTTATATTGTTGATAGCGCCTTCTTTTTTTCCAGGACTCCAAAGATCCAAATGACCCTGACATGGAGATTACACGATTATAGAAATCTCTCACATCGTCCATCGGTAATACAGTATAATGTATTGTAAATGAAAAAAAAAATATACAAAGATATCGTTATGTACGATTTATGATATAAATAAGCGGGTTGCAAAATTGATACAAAGTATATTTTCATAAAGCATTTGGATTGTTTATACTTTGTACTAACTTGTCGTAACAGACATCATGATCTGGTTCGAACAATTTTCAGATGGGTCTTCAGAATGTTTATGTTTTTTTTCTCATTTTTAACCAAAACTTATGCAAATGAGTTTGTTTAGTATCAGAAGTCCAGAAATATCGCCAATGGTACAATGCGCGGTAGATTTATGTGCTGACAGACACGAATCAGTAAATCTGAATCTTGTAATGGAAGTATTAGAATTTCCTTTCATTCATTGCACCATGTGAGATGAGATATTGAATCCTCTCTTGAGGAGAAGTAAAGGTATTTCGCTCAAATTCATATTAACTAATATTTGTTTTTTGTTACTTTAATAAACTTTCATGACATTATAATTACAAAGGTTTTTTTCATTATTTAATTCTTCAATAGTGCTTAGATAATAAAATCAAAATGTGATACATGTCAACTATTTGCATACATGTAAAATGATTCCATATTATTTCAACAAATTTGAAACGAAGATAAAAAAGACCAATTAAGATTTGTTAAGAATTAGCTTATAGCTGTGCTGTAGGACGAAGATACTCTACACCAAACCAGTCAGTGTTGTTACTAAAGAATGGAAATATATCCAACAGCATGTTATTTACTAGCCGTGAACAAAGTGAATATCACATAAACGCAGATGAAGTATATCACTAAACATCGTTTTTATCGTAAATAGCACATTTCAGCGAACACCCCTAATTGGTAAACATAACATAGCAATTAGCATCTTATTCCAGTTCAGGAACGGTCGGACTCGAGATTTAGATAGTAGGACTCAAGAACACTCGGTACTTATACACATGTATTACAACTAATATCACATGGCATAATTGAAAAATACAAATCAGTTATGAATCAGAAAAAGAAAAAGAAATGTTTACATATTATATATTCTTATAACAAACACAAAACATTAAGCACGCAATAGAACATGTCTGTCTATCATTACACAAGAAAGAGTCTTTAATTTTTCTCTGTCAAGTTGGCATTCATATTGCCTTTAATTGACAATTGAAACAGTTAAATGCATAAATGAAATAAGAACATTTTGACACTTTGGTACACATAACATGTTACATCAATATAATAACATAGTTATAAAAACACGATCGTTGCACAAGTAAATATTCAAGTACAACTTCTCAAAACCGGTTTTTGAAAGATTCAACAGGAATTGAGAAGACATTTAATCGAAAGGAATTCCCTCAATCAGGTATTCAATAAAGGGAATTTTCCTAAAAGACAGGTGACTACTGTCACGATGGATCCCGTCCTATCTAGAAAAAAGTATGTCGGCCACTAACGGTGATAAAGATAATAAGTTTGTGATCGTGGTTGACACTGAACCTATGCCTTGATACCGACTGTGAAATTTCGAAAAACGGAGATTAAAAATATAATATGGACACATCTGACTAAACAAATTACTGAACTGAACAACAACAATAATATATGCAAAACATCCAAAACATGTAGAGTAGAAACTCTGAAACATCGAATCAACCGTGACATATTAACTCTTCCACTAGGGGAGGCTAAGATATAAATTATGCATGAATGGGAGTAAACTAGCCACTTGTTGAATTGAAATCAACAAATGTGTGATAGATTACGATGACCAGAATTGTCATAAACGTAAAGATGTGAAGCTGAATCAGAAGAGTCTGAAATATCTTCATATCGCACTCTGGGTATTGATAAGTGGTCAATATCTCTCGTAGTTACGAATAGTCAAGGATACACTATTATCAATATATCAGAATGTATCGGTTTAAGTACACTTTCATCTTCGATGTACTTTCGCAATTTTTAGACAAACATGAACAATATACTAGATATTCTACCACGTCTTCGATGTAACGACACTTTTCATTGGTTAATATCACGTATTATTTGACGATTGGCCATGTACGTGCATGTAATGTATTACTTAACAACAGATCAACGCTCTTTTAAAAATCTCCCCTGCAAATGTAAACAAGCTAGCCACTGGGCGGGTTTCCTTTATCGAATGAGGGTGTACGCATTTCATTTTGTATGTATTTGAAGAAAAGGTTTCTGTTTAACCACCAAAGGATCTACTTTAAACATGTCGAGCTGTCCGAGAATGTTCCGACGATAAATAGATCGATAAAAAGTATTCCATTCCTGTATTTACATCAACCACGTTTGTTATCGTACACCGTTTATCAATTATGCGCAGATGTGCACAGATATTCGCTTGCTTTAATCGCAAACATTTGTATCGTTCGCACATGATGCGCACATCGTGCGCACATCGTTCACAGACCGTTTGCAGATCGTGCGCACACCTCACAATGCAACGTACCGTTGTGCAATCCCACTACCGTAACAAGACTCGATACTCCAAGGGTTTCGCTCACTTTCGCTCTCTGCACCTCTGGGATATATCATAGCAAAATCGAAGGCAAAGTGTAAATCACCGTGAAGGTGAGACGGAAAGACTAGTTTGAGCCTTTGATGTACATCAAAAGAATCTGTCGGTCGCGTAACGGTACAACTGACTGGTTTTGAAATCGGGTGTCGCTCCTCTGTGATATTAATAATAATAATAATGATAATAATTATTCGAGGTTCTTATCTACCGCTTCATCACAATCTATGTCGTAGGTCGTCTCAAAGCTGTTAACAAATTAGTATTCGTGGTCATAGGGCCTTTGCAACTAGTCAATATCTTTCTCAACTTCCTGGGGGAGCGTACAGTCGGTTCTGCCATTCCGGCGCTCACAGATAGCATTCATTAGTTCTAGCATTGCCCAACCACGTACTCATTTACAGCTGAGTCAACTGGAACAAGCGGAGTAAAGTATCTTTCTCACAGATACAATACAGTGCCGGTCCGTGACTCTAACCCGCAACACTTTGGTCACGAGCCCGGCGTCCTATCACTAGACTACCGTGCCTCCATGTTATTCAAAGGACATGTATCATCCTAGTGATTGGTCAGGTTTTATTGAATATGAGACCAATGAAATAGCTAGCCGAGGGATGCAGAGAGCGAAAGTAGCCCCTGGAGTATCGGGGATGTTCTGTAACGAACACAGACGGAACTTCAACAAACTCGTCTACAGACTGTTAAAGGAGTTCCAGTAGTATAATTCACAGCAGGTGACTGTAGAACTTGAGAACATCACATGCTAAGACAGGACAGAGCAACACATATAATATCTTTCCAGGCACACCCCAAGGCGAAATGTACTTGTTATATTCAAGCTGAATCTACAGCGTAGTTCTGTGGACTTTCATTCATAACACAAGAAAACATATCCTGAATTTGATAATAAACTACAAGTGTAATATCAGATTCTGATTATAAATCTGAAACACAATTTCAAAGAGAAAATTCAAAGAAAAATAAATTCTTGGAAGTAATTAATAGTTGACTTACTCTGTATTTTAGTCCTTTTATAACAGGAGAGAAAAAAAAATGTATAAAACACATATAAGAAACTACATTGATTTTATTCAAATCACACTTTCGAAACAACATAACACATAATAAGAAATAAAGATAGAAATGTTTGTCTTTTGAGTATGTACTTTGTAGTATGAATTTTATGTATCAAATTAATAACAAATTTAAAGGACCTATGTATTTGATTTTTTTTCACATCCAGAATTTTGTTTCTTTCCTGAAGTCTTCTTACATAAGGCTTTCTGCAGAAATATCCATGACCTAGAACATTCAACTGTAAAAAGGAAAAATAAATTTAATGATTTGAAAAAAAAAAGGTATACATAATTTATATTACAATTACATGTATATATAAAAATGTCTAATATAAAACTTTGATTAGAAATCGTGTGACAGGAAAAACATTAAATAATTACAAGAAGACAGATTTTCAAGGCATTTCGCTCCAGGAGAAAGTATGACTACATAAATACATATATAGTGCTTTACAATATTTACAATATCTGATATAAAACTTTGATTGGAAATCGTGTGACAGGAAAAACATTAAATAATTACAAGAAGACAGATTTTCGAGGCATTTCGCTCCAGGAGAAAGTATGACTACATGAATACATATATAGTGCTTTACAATATTTACAATATCTGTTTGATAACCGCAAAAGTCATAATTAAGAAATTGCTGCATCAAATTATGCTTATACTGCATAATTATACCAGGGTTTCAATCATTATTACAGGAATGATAAAAGTATTGATAATATTCATTTGTGGAATACAGTCTTATTAGAATTAGACGAAAGTGACTTTTAAAAACAGCTTATTCCACAATCTATATTGAAAACTATGACATACATGTATATAACATATTTTGCTAAGTCTTTGAGAAAGTAAGTCAGTTCACCAGTATCCCATTTCCAAGTTTTTACACCATTACATTTCTTCAACAATTTAATTAATCTTTTGATTTATATATCACCAGAAATCAATCTTGATGAACGCTTGTTTCAGTACAGAGACTAATAATACTGAAAGAGACATTGCATTCATTATCACATGATAGATTTCAGTATATCAGGTATTGCAACATATAGACTTCATTGTCAGACATGTTTGTCACATTTGGTCTGGCATTTATCAAATTATCTGTTGTTACTTTGTTATAAACTGGTTATGTACGAAACTGTTATAATGTTGTTTCTATTCATTTTCCACCCTTGTTGTAATGATGTTCTATGTCCTTATCAACAAAGTTCTTGTAGCTGGTATGGACAGGTTTAACATTTGCATGGTCACCAGATACAGTTTTATAGTATTTTCTATGATTTGATATATCCAGGTTTGGCCCATTGCATATATATAAATTTAATTTAATCTCATTTGATACACTGTACACAATACAATACAAATACAATATGACACAAAGAGATTTGTTTACTTATTTTGAAATAATTCAATGAAATTGGATCCTTTGATGTTTTGAGTTGAAATGCAACCTGATAAGATACAATATTCTTAACAAAATTGCACTCCCTAAAACAGAGATTACATGTAAAGAGGAAAAGAGTCATATAATACACTTAAAGCTAAATTAACCTACAACACATGAAAAATATGTTTATATACATGTTTCCTATAAGGAGCAGGCCTTTTGAAATATTTGGAAAAAAATAATGAATGAAGGAAAATTACCTGTAATGTATTAATGTATTTTTTTCCTAAATCTAGAAAGTTGGTCTTGGCTCTTGTTAGTACCTGATCAGAGCATTGGTATATTGGGTTGGTAGCATATCACAACTCGTTCTTGTTTTCAGTTTCAGACATCTCATAACAAAGCTCTCCCCCCCCCCCCCCCCCCCCCC